TTTGAGATAGCTTCCGATACTTAGGTGATGCTCCATTCTTTCCACGTTCTTCAGAATGTCTTCACTGTATAAATCCACAGCTTGCCCTCATTTGACCACCAGCGGAAGTTAGTGAGTCTGATGAACTATGCCCAGACGTAATAGCCCAGTACTGAATTACCAGTGCTTATAATCTCAGATAGTCAAGTCCATCGTGGGTTGACGCACTCGCTATTGAAGCTTCGGGGGAAGACCAGCTGCCTCGTTCCAAGCACTTTACTACTCTAATCAAGCAGCAAAACTTACACAACCAAAGTGACAAATTGATCTGCTACTTAAAATTAAAAAACGTATTTATTCTTAATCACTAACACACAGCATCCATTATGCTATTTCGAACTTTGGTAAACTGAAAAAGAAAGCGTGTCACATATATGCGACGTTAGTGATGAACGCATAAGTGAATTGCAAAGGTGAAAATGTTGTTTTAGAATACAGTCAGGTCAACTCCCATTTCTCCTAACAACCATAATCTCCCACGCACATCGATAATAAAATCAGTGTGCAGGAGTTTGCTAGCCCGTTTGAGTACCTGACGTCCAGCTTAGTCATCTTCCCGGTACGTCTAATTAAGGGAAGCATCTGTTACAATTTAGATGACTTCCAGATACTGTAATTACATTCTGATGTTATCCATTTTTATTTTATAACGAGAGGGAGCGTGTGAGAGAGAGAGAGAAAGTGATGGGATACATGGAATGCTGCGCCTCGAGTGTGGTCCACCCAGAGATAGATTTTGAAATGAAACACTCGAGGCGGTATCATCCTCTTCCCTCAAGTTATCCATGAAAACAACTATCGTACCAGCTTTAAGGAACTATTTAATAAACTTATGTTTAGAATTAATAAAAAAAATTCTTACGTTAATAATTACAGTTGAAGTTAGTCAAGTCTTCGGATTTTCAATGTGAAGACCTTTAAAATGTGGTGCCAAAACCCGAAGACTTCACCACGTAATAAACTTACATAGTGAAGAGAACAGTGGAAGGGCATATATGAAAGGGACAGCAGTCTGAATTTAACCAGCACGCTTACTATTAGCGTCACACATATGTCACCCTAGTCCGGAGTCACACATGTGTGACAAGTGCTCTCGCATCGTGGTAATTGGTTACACTAAATCACATATCGGAAGCAGACTGACAGAGTTTGAGGCACAAAAAAATAGGTGTAGGTTGTTCCTGACCTGAGTTTTTGTGGACTGTGATTCAAAAATGAAAAAAAAGAACTCATGGACTGTGACAATGAAGCATCCCCCAAGACGTGCCTAAAGGGTCTAATGCAAGAGAATTGAATGTGTTCAAGCCATTTCTGGGCCTACAGTAAAGGTAGCCTCTATAGCTTTAAATAGGTTCAACCCGAGCATTGTAATTTTTATTCAGCGACTTTGAATGAGATAGACAAATGTTCTCTAGGCGGCAAAGGAGGTCAAGTTTCGTAGTTGAGACAAGTTTTTAGGCAAGATACTGCGAAATCCTAGATGCTAGTAACTTTGCTGCACTATAAACACGACCTGCACTTTGAGAATTGCGGTATTTAAACAACCCTACAGACTTGAGACGGAAATAGCTGCTGCAAAGCAAATCTGTAAACCAAAGTGGAGTATCTGGTGAACCATAGTAGCCTAGGATAGAATATGTATTTCCGAGAAGCTGGAGAGGGAATTCTGCAACTAACTACTACATTAGCATTCCTTTATTCCCGACTTTCTCACCACTTTGATGCACCCTCATCAAATGATAATAACAATACCCTAGCACTGCAAGAGTGGATAGTTTATTAATTTGTCGAAATTGCAAAATCCCGCACAACGCCACCCACTTTTTCCTACTAACTAGGTCAGAACCAGAGAGGACGGAAATGCGTGTGCGTGTGTGTGGGTGGACGAGATGGTAAGATTGTGCACCAAGACAATGGGAAACAATGCCCGGGCAGAGAGGAGAGAGGGAGGGAAACGCGAGAGATCTAAAGTGTGCGATAAAGCCTTGCCATTGTTAGGGTTGCCATGGTTGAGCTGTAGTATGAAACAGGGCAATGGTGTTGTTGCTCCTTTTTGTAGGTTTTGCCTTGTCAAAGAGAAGGCATCTAATTCCACTTCTACCTCCATCTGGGACTGGTCCATCACGGCAAGGCGTGGTCATTCTCGAATGACTTATTTCTTCTCCTAACTTTTTCCAAACACCTAATTATTTAATGCAAGCTAAGAAAATCCCAAAAATAACAATCCGGAATAACGCACGATCTTACCTGAAAACTTCTAAAAGAGTCAAAAAACCTAAGCTGATATTTTTGACGATTCCTGAACTCACAAAATGAATTTATTGTATATCCACACTGAAAGAATTAGTGGCCATTAAGGTTAAAACCAATAAGGAGACGATAATACTGATTAAATTAAAAAGTTTTGGACCTTAATTCATTATGATACTTTTTGGAAGATGTCTCATGATAACTCGCTATTACACGCGACGCCCGTTCCTTGAAGGAATCAGCTAATTGGTAACCAAATGTGGGCTTTCATTCAACATTAAAAACGAGATTCAGGTGAAAGCAAACAAATTCTTCTTGGCTATGTACCTACCACTAAGTACTGTTGCTGGGCTTACTCTCGGTCATGCGTTTTTCAACTGTATGCGGTTTCATGTGGTCCATTTGAGCGGCTTCACACCTGTCAGAAGAACAAGCAAACGAAAAAGAAGACATCTGGGTAGTGGCTAATCGTTTCTAACCGTAGTAACTAAGCCATAACGACAGGAGACGGGTGAGGTGAAAAATTTGATGAGGAAAGGAGAGAGAGAGTTCGCTAGAGAAAGATGTCAAGGGCAAAAGAGGAGGAATGGAAAATTTTCCGGTTAAATGCGCAGATTGATATGATCCTGCTTTTCTGCTTACGGACAAGAGAAGAAGAGAGATCCAGGGTGGCCGAGGCAGAAGAAGAGGTGGAGGAGAAAGGGAGAGAGTTGCGCTGCTGATCCCAGCTGATCGACAAGTCTGTCAAAAGACAGGATAGGGGGGAAAACGAGGCGAGTGGAGAGTTGGATGGCTGGTGGGTGGATGGATGGTTGGGTGGGTTAAACGCAAAAAAAAAACGGCAGAACGCAAGATACAGGCTGAATGATAAGGAAGAACACACATACAGAGAGACAGAGTGAGAGACTGAGAGAGGGGCCACGATGAGTGGGGGCGGTGGGGGGTAAGAGATGGACAGGCTGTGATAGGGACCACGACAACGTCTAGTATGTTCGCAATAAAGACCTCTGAGCAAGAAAGAGAAATAGACGGGGAGAGAGAGACAGAACGGACTGACAGCATCGCTTATCGTGTTTCCTTATCTCCCTTCCTCCTCTACTTTCCTTGTGTTTGTGCTTATACACACACGAACACACGCACGCACGTTTTGACTTTCCTGATTTATTCTTATTGTCGTTATTGCTGGCGTCGTCACTCTCGACGAACATAGAATTTACCGTTTCACATTCAAAGGTTTCGTCTGAAAATTATACTTGGTCATGCAGTGTTAGCGCTGTAAATAAGATAGCCGTCAGTAGTATGCTGATTAAGAAGGTCATCCCCAATAAGAAAGGCTGCTTCAAGATATCCAAATATTTTACAATAGCAACATATGGGATTACTAGTACCTAATCTATAATTAATCGGAATATTTCTAAAACGAATATACTTGCAGAATCTTCAAAAACTGAGGAATTTACAAAATTTGGGAAAAAAGTAGCCCAATCTGTTCACTAAGAACGTGTAGCTCACGTAATCAAAAAGGATCGTTCACCCACGTAAACTTCTGCTCACAAGCCGTTTGGATGCTTGGTTCGTAACTTTTGGTAATGAAATATTTTTCCAAAGGAATGGATCAAACATCTTGTCCTGCATTAAGAGTGGCATTCCATTATAACGTCCTGAGTAATTCCTGCTACCAAAATAAGACATTTTAATGTGAGAGATTGTTCGCTGTTAGTATATGCAAGGAATGTGAGCCTATCGATATGACCAGACTGCCATACTGCAAAGGAGATAAGTCCGCCACCGAAGAGCAGCAACCTAAAATATACAACACAGTCCCTGGAAATGTGTCCACACACATAACTATGAGTCCGTAAAGTGGTAAAAAAAGGTGAACACTTAACTTGTTTGTTCTGTTCTCGGTTTTGGGAATGGGCCGCTTAGGATTTCGCCATTGTACTTCAGTCGGGCGACCTGGCCTCCGGGCCATGCGAGGACCTGTCAAGCCCTTCTGCGGATCGGGAGTCGACACTCTGCCAGAAAGCTATGTCGTCTTTTATTTTTAAGAAAGCCTCAGAAGGCTAAAATAGGTGACAAAATTCAACATAAATGCTTCAACACGCATCACATTTTCCATTTGAATTGTAATACTTATGTTGTTTTAATGTGCCTTTCAGGGAGGAGGCAAGCAGAAAATTCGAACCTGGTAACTGGATCGCCCTCTCCCTTACCTAGTGACTGCGGCTCCCCTCCTTCTTGAATATTGTATTTTCCCTATACATCTTGTCGTCTTTAATAAAGATGTCCAAAGTAAACCAATCGGGCTTGTCTAGGAACGCTAGGAATCGGGAAGCGGAGACCGAGGAGTCCCGCTCCACAGAATCCTAACTGCATACAATTTACCACTAGTATTTGAAGAAAAAGAGGATGTAAAATGTTGCTGAGGCTTGCAAACAGGCCTTAAATGTAGTACTGGGAAGCTGAGGAGAACAATTACAAGGGCAAAAATGATAACACTTGTTAGTTCCTATTTAAATATTCATTAGAATTAATTCCTGTTATTTTTACTCTTTGCAGTGCTAAAGTTTCAATTAGTACTGTTTTTAAATATTTTTTAAGAAAACTGGCATTTCAGAAAAAAATTATAATATTAAGTTAGTGTTTAAGTTGGCCCCTCCTGGCGCGGCTAGTATGGTCGCAGTTGCAAAAATTTATTACTTGGGTGCATGTCTGAACAGTACTCACCGGGAGAAGCCACACTTGCTGCTGAGGCCACAGATTATTACAGCCGCTCTCAGCTTGGGTCGTGCTTTAGTCATATGAAAAAGCTGCATTCAATGAGACCTGCCGACCCCAAGGTTCTTTCATGAAATATTACGCTTTCTAGACAGCATTTCCCGACATTTTACACAATTTGTGCCTTTAACGAATTTTAGGTTCTGGCAAACATGGCTCTCATTGAATTTATCCACCAGAACAATATGACTTGTTCAGATGAATACCTATCACAACTTCGAAAGGCTGCTATCCTTGCTTGTTCGCCCATTTTTGTGACCGGTGACTCTGACATCCATGCTGCTCTGAGGCCTGTTAGTCCCACAGCTGAACAGTCCATCATCTCTATACACTACAATTATGCTCTTGTTCTGTTCTATCAAAGGCAGTATGTGCGGTCAGAACGCATGATTGCTGGTCTACTCGGCATAGCAACGGCAGACGCCTCCCCCGCTTCTATTGAATTTCCCTTGGGTGCAGGAGCGCTGCTTTCTCAGAAATGTTTTCTTCTTTGGATGGACCTGTGCCTTTGCCTTCAAAAACCACAAAGAGTCTTTGAATTTGCGTGTAAGCTAATCCTTCCCGTGCGTTAAACTATACAGTCGTTAAGCTATGCTCTTGCATATTTATATGAAACTATATATGTGCCTGGAAGGCAGTGTTTTTGCCTCAGTTTGCCGCACTTTCGTTTAGCATACTGGCTACAACAGCTGAATTCAAGCGGTGAAGGTGTCGGGAATCCGGTGAAGGTAGAAGTGATAGAAATGCTTAGAGAGATTGCTCGTCCGTTGCGCGTTTTTCGTCTCCGGGCCTGCCTACTAACTGGACGGATCAGGATTGCTCAGGAAGAGGCTAGTCAGCTCTCCCAGTCAAGCAATACTTCTGATGACAAAAGCTGGGACACTTCTAAAAGTCTTGAGTATGCTCGTGCTCAGCTCTCGTATTTGCAAGTACGTAGGTTTCTTAGAATGCTTTGAAATTTGATGCATGATTTCGCGAGTTTACGTGCTGCAGATTTGCTTTTTAAGGAAATTATATGCCTTTCCAAGTGGATACTTGTTAATGCTTTTTTTATTCAGCTTCTCGTGCCTAGGCTATTGGTAGTAGTTGAGTTACCTATGAAGACATTAAGGTACACGAGTTTCGCAATAACTTTGTTATAACCACGCAAAGAGAAGAGAAGGCTGGTAGAATAAGTAGAATGAATGGAGCTCTGCGGCTGATTGAAAAGGTCCGTATAATGACTGTCTCAATTAAGAGCAGCTGAAAATGTGGTGATCGGAATGTGCTTTGAATTTCTGTCAAATACTTGTCGAATTTTAAGTAACACTATAGTGTCCTCAAAATATTTGCCAGAATATCATGCAACGCCTCAAAAACTGTGTAAATAGTAATTCAAAAAACACTTTCAATGTTTGGAAATGCGCTTTATCAGGGTCATTCGTCTTATAAATTCTCTTTAACAATATTCGCCGGAAATGCCTCAACTGCGGAACTTTTGATATTTTCAGACAAATTCACGAAATAAATTTGCCTCGTGATTGATCAACTATTTAGTCGCTCTGAAAATGTTGAAATTTGTAAGGCATGTTTTAAAGCTCCTTCCCTGAAAATTTTTGAAAGGAGCCAGATGGTAAGGTAGTGTAACATGGACTCTTCAAAAAGAATTTTGTCTTTTTTTTTATCAGTCACGCGTCGCATTTGCAAATTTGCCGGTTGATTTATGCCATACGTCTAGGAGGGCTGAGATGCTAACACCTTTAGCCCTACCAAACTATCGCTTTCGATTCAATCTCCCTTTTCTAGCAGGCAGAACGATCCCGGAGGTCTAATCAGGGTTAGTTGTTGTAGTATTTTTGATAAATTTAGCAAAACGCCGCTTGTCGGAAGGGCAAACTATAGAATAGTGCAGCTTAAAAGTTTAAGGAAACCAAGGCATTACTAGAGAACGCCTGTCATTACATAAGGGGAGTAGTTTAATTTGGGTAAACAAATTTATGGGTAACTACACAAAGTGCACCCTTTGAGATGTGACATCTGTCCTTTTCTTCTAAAAGGCGGAATCTGGTCACAGTTCTTGATCCTGCTTGTAGCAAGATCACACCAAGACCGTCAAGCGTCTGAACACACTCCTTCCTTCTGAATCCACCTCATCGCCAACCTCTGTTGAATGGGAATCCTCTCTGGTGTGGAACAATCTCTCCCTCACCTACTTTCGCGCCGGCCACCTCGGCCTGGCAATGCTGGAGGCGCGCGCTGCTCTTCGACGTACCAAAAGCCTGGCAGACGAAGCTACTACGTCAGCGACCGAGGTCAGGCGATTGGTCAACCGCACGCCCCTGCACCAGTTGAGTGCGAGTCGGCACTACGAGTTGCTTTACAACACGGGTGTCCAACTCCTCCTTGGGCAGAAACATCCCGAGACTGCTTTCAATGCTCTCCTCACTGTGGTCAAAGCGTATCCGCGCAATCCACGTCTTTGGCTTCGTCTTGCTGAGTGCTGTGTCAAGGTGCATAGGTAGGCTCTTGTTCTGCGTATTGGGACAAAATGGTGCAAAAATTGGTTTGTTTGAATCTGCTCTGATGAAATCAGGCTCGGTACTTGTTTGTACCGTAACACTTGTTTAGGCATGCTACAGTTTTGAGCAATTGTGTAAGGGTCAAAGGGTTTAAAAAATAGTCTAAGGTAGCGTTGTCACTGTTTCCTTTTCACTTTGTAATGTGAATCACGACAGCAATTTTCATACAGTTTTCATTGTATCTCCGCATAGTTTCTTGGTTAAACAAATGTCTGTCCAAGTATGGTTAGAACTTTCATTTAATACTATTTTCATGACATAATTGGCACTTGAATGTCACTTTTCCGTAAATGACTTGGTAACTATTCCGTATGGTGAGAAGAATTTTTTAAAGTCACGAACTGAACAAAGAGAGACCAGGATTAACTAGAGCTGTACAATGCTCTTTCAGAGGAGAGCCTCATATGAATCTTGTTTTGGCGGCATGAATGTCGTTGTAAGGCATGTAAAATTCAGCTAGAATTTAGGAGTGGCTGTTTATGTCTTTGCTTTCGTCGATTTATTTCGTACACTACGAGTTTCTTTATACATAGGCTTTTGGTATTAAAATATCTGTACATCTAGGCAAAAGTGAAGCACTGCCAAAGATAACATACCTGAAAACCCAGCACTTTCAACCCTTCCTGTTGTTGTATACTACGACCTCCTTCTACTCGCTCAGCATATCCACGAGTAATGTTCTTTAAGCTTTTGTTACCAATTGTCCCTCTTAGAAGCGATTTAGGGCTCTTTTTGTAGATTAGCAATGAAGCGGTGTAATCAGGGAGAGAAGTCATTTTAAAGTATTCGAAAAGTTGATCAAATATCTTCACGACTCCTGCCTCAGTCATTCCTACCAGTTTCGAACCCACTTTCTGCTTCTCTTTTTTGCAACCTGCAAACGTTGCACGATGGGTCTGAAAGTAATGAGACCACGTCGAATTACTTGCAGGCAAATAAATTGACAGTATCAGTATGGACCTTTCCTTTGCCCGCGTGCTCGCTGATGCATAAGCAACGCGAATGTCCGCTGATACACCTTGCTTGTTTGTGTCTGAAGGACTTGTTAACCTCTTTAGCCAATGAGAAAGCACGTGGGTATCAGTGTTTGCATATCTCCCCTATCAACTGCTTGAGCGAGAAGTCCCTTTCTGGGAGGTTTGAACTCCGATAACAATGGACAATAGTGAGATGGAAGTCCTGCGCAGATAGTTTGGACGCAGCTACTTTTCTATCAGTATTACGCCATTTGCAATAGTACCTAGGTAGACAGAGCATAAATTCTGTATTTTGCGTCCTTTGTTAGCACCTCGTTAATTGGGTGAAAGATGAATGAGTTCTCTTGAAAAATGAATGAAAGTGAGTTGTTTGAACAAAGTTAGAAGAATATAATCTACTCAACGAGTTTTTGGCTTCTTGAGATCTGGTAATGGGATTATGGTGAGCTGATACATGCCGCACCAGGCTGGAGGGCACTACAAGGGCTGAGATTGATTCAGGCGATGGGTGATGACCGCCTGTTTAACAGTTGCTCAGTTAACACTGCTTGTGTCTTGAGAATTAGACGCGAACTCTGTCTGTAGCTGATTCTTTTATGCCTGGAGACGATGCATTTTGGGTGCCTTCTTCTCCGTCTTGCAGACCTGATAACCTCAATGATTGGAGCGCGGAGTCTCGAGCGTCTTGTCTGCTACGCGCGGTGGGCGAAGGTGCCGCTCGGAAACTGATTATTGGGGCTGATGTGGGACCCGTGAGTTTTTCCCCTCCTTGTTTTTCTTTTGAGAAAATCAGGTTAATTTGGTGCTAATTCAATTCCTCGTCTTGTTGTCCGTTTTTCGCATTCAGCTTGGATTTTTATTAAAAGGGATTTAATCTGGAAAATGAACATTTTTTACAGTACGGAATGAGCTAATTTATTAATTGGTACGGTTGACTTTAAAAGCGGACTTAACCGTTCGGAGAACAATCTAACTGACAGTAATCTAGCTTAAGCTTGCCATTTTTTTATGAAATAGGGTTTTTTCGTCACTATTTACTTGAATTACTGTTTTTCACTTCGGCCTTATTTGGTGGAAATATTCTCTTTATGTTGGTGCACCTTTCTCCATTTGGGAATATTTTATTCGAAAGTGCTATTGCTCTGAAGTGGTTGGATGGGACAGTTACACATGCTGCTGTGCTACATGGTCGATTGTGTTTATGCTAAAATTTTTTAAGCACAAAACGTATTGTAGCTGGATTCAATTCCTTCATTAAGTACAAACGTTTCTCCAAAATGCCCTTTTCATCTATATTCATCGTTTCTTGTTTTGAGGCGAGAAGCAGGATGAATACCGTGCAAATACTCCTCCTAGCTGCAATTTTTAGGCTAATCCTTTCCATCACGCAAGACGGTGTACTCTTGATTGAATAAGATCGTCATGATCTTTTAATCCATTCTCGAGACAGTTTAACAGTCTATCAAATGCAACAGCATTGCGGTAAAATGACCTCTTCGGTTTTATTATTATCACTTGCTTTCATCTGTTGCCGTCAGTCTTTTAATATTGAGTGGACTTAGCCTCACCAGCCACGTCCTTTTTCAACACAAGTAAATTCATCCAGTTTTGCTTCAGTAGCACTGCTTATGCAGGCAATAATTAGTGTTCATATCCGTTAGTAGTCTCAAGGAACCATACTTTCTCACCTGGCTTTCCTACTATCCCTATTCCTCCATAAGTTGCCTCCGTTCATCTCGTTGATTGGAGATTATCCTTCGGACTTTTGTTCCTCGAGAAAAACTGGGAATGAGTTTCATCGAACCTCCGATCATCGAGGCCATGCAATCTCATATGGCGTAACTAATCTTAATTCCTAAGGCTTCACATGCTGGATACATCCCTTTAAGCTCTCTATTTTATCAGTGGAAAGTCCTTATGAAGGCAATGAGGCGAATCTGGACGCTGCATACCCACTCGATGAATTGTGCCATCATTTGTACATTTTGCGTTTTGATAAGATAGAGTAAGTCCTTTTCTTTCGTCCCCGATACCTTCTACTTATTGAAGTCACTTGTCCGCTCAAGTTATACGCGTAATAAATATGAATCATTTTGATTCAGAATGGAAAACTTTGAAGTTTTCATCAATGTCTCTAGGGCTCCACATCCCCGCTAACCCTTCTTGTTACCTGTATTCTGCCATAATCAGCGTTTTTTGAATGTATTTATTTCAAAATAGCCCCAATATTTTCCATATCCTTACTATTAGGACCCCTAAAATGCCTTTCGCAGACCATTTTGCTGTTGCACTTTATGTTATCAAATTTGAGTCTTACATTTTGGGGACAGATTATAGCCCTTGTTAGTAATAGTGAAATTTTTCTGTATGTCCTATGCAAGAACGATGGGTTTCATCCTGATTGTGCTCATCGGAGTATATTGCAATATGTTGTTTGGTCAAAGTGGGTCCAAAGGACTTACCTTTGTAGCTTAATGCTACAATACTATTTACCAGCCGTCGTGTGCATTCACATTTGACGTTTATTACTTACATTTTCGTCAGCCGAAATCATCGTCAACTGGGTCGACATCAACGTCGGAGGCGAATCTGAGTCTGGAATTCGCTGTGCAGTGCCTTCGCAACGCCGCTTTCTTACTCCCTCGGCCACCGATAGATTTGGATACCTCCACCAGTCCCCCCGACCAACTGCCTGTTGATCGACTGCGCTCTGCTCTCCTCAAGTGGGCTGCTGAGCAGGCAAGACCCACTTTCCTCTGCTTTCGTGCTTAAATCGCTGCAAATGGGGGGATAGGAAGTTTATTAAGTTGAGACTTTTCATCTGAACCTAAAGTTTGCTCTCTTTTGCTTTATCAGAGGCCATTAATTTTGAAATAGATAAGCCCTCCTTCTTCCACCTTACCTCAATTTCTATTCCTTGTGCTAGGAACCTCAATGGTTCCTGGCATTTCGACTAGATAAAAGGAGTTTGAGCTCCAAGTCTGTGTCCCGATTTTTCCTTTTCGAAAAAGGTACCCCTAATGCTAGGTCATAAAAGGTGGGATTTGGAGTGGGATTTTCACTTGTTTTTACCCTCAAAGGATGCATCGCGATAATTGCCATAGCCACATGTGCTTGTACAACTAATGATAATGGGCGTGAATACTATTTTCTCTTTCCATTTTTAATGTAGTTACCGGAATCTAGAGGAATCAGTGAGTTAGGGCGTTTGTGTCCAGATTAAAAAGTTGGCTCTCTTCATTGACCCTTCCACTGGTTTGTCCACTGTTTCAGGGGTCATCAAGTGTGAAATAGGTGGGCCTTCTTCGCACTTCCTCACTTTTTCATGCGGTGACTGTGGGCTGGAGGGTTCAGGTATTTCACACAGATTCAAAAATTGATTACCCGCATTTCTTTTCCTCCTAATAAGCATTCCGTCTATATGGCTAGCACGTTTGAAATTGCGGGTAATAATAATGGATACTGTCATCGAGGTAATACCAATTGTGACAATTTTGAGTATCATTTTTACCTTATGTACCATTCTGATAAGTGAATACCGCAAATTTTTTACCTTGGCAGCATGCATCCGCCTTCTAACAGTGCAGTTCAGTAACGACTTGAGGAAGAAAAGGACTGCTCACTAGTTTATCTTTCTTGTTTCAGACAATTCTGGTGCCACCATCCAGTCAACCACTGAGCGGCATGGCTCTGCTGCAGGTGATCTCCGCAATTCTCGTGACCAGTGCCTATGTTGCGCTCTGCCTGGAGGATCCCGTAGAGGCTATCTACTATGCTGAACAGCTCCTCTCCGTTGGCCCTCCGTCCCCACGACCTGCCACCGGCACTACAGACAACGCCTTCATCTGGATCGGTCTCGTCGCTCCGCCTGCTCACCGCTACCTCGCAAAGATGTACCTAGCAGAGGCGCGAATCGCCATTGATCAGTGAGCCGCTAGAAACGTTTTGGGAACCGTGTTTTATGGGTGGGTACACCTCATATTCTGCCTTCTTCCTCCAGAGTCGCAGAGGCCAGTATGAGCCTGCTCTCCAAGGACTGTGTCACCTCGGTGGAGCGTACCCCCCCCCTCCCTGTGCACACTTTACGGTCCTACGCTTTCCTCCAACGCGAATGTGCCTGCCTCTCGCCTGCCTTTCTTCTGCCCCAGACACACTCACTTTGCGGTCTCCGTACCGATGCATCGGCAAGCTCTTCTACGAGCACGGGAGCAAAGAACTCCAACAGCGACCTGCAGCGCCTTATTCAACTACACAAGGAACAATGCGAAGTCGAGCCTATTCTCTGTCAGTCTATTAACCCCAAGAGTCCCGATTTTCCCTCTTTTGTGGATCAGGCTATTGGAGTGCTGTTGTACAATATGGCAGTGTGTTTTGCAGTGCGAGGCGATCTCCCTAGAGTGCGGCATCTACTGGAAAACGCTGCGCCCTCCCTCCTTGTTAACTTTCTTGACCCTAGCTCTCGAGCACCGGTTCGTCATGGGAGTGAGGAACATCAGCGTCTGCTCTACCCAACTGATGCAACGATGAGTGGTATATCGCGTCTACTAAACACGCACCACTTGCCTAGACAGTTTCTCCTGCTGTGGTTGTACCTAGAAATGCGGGAGGATAGGGCCTCGTCAGCAGTGCACTTTTTAAGAACACACATCGGTGACGTCGCGTTTGACAGCCACCTCACTGATATTTCGGCGAGGGAGCTGAGTGTTTGTGAGCGAGGAGCGGGTGGGGATAGCGTTTCGATCATGACGTTTGATGGTGGTGGTGGAATGGAGCGTCCGGAGATACCTACGGAGTCGTTGACGCGTCATATGTCAATGGTGGCGCCGTTGAAGCCTACCTCGTCATCTCGTTCAACGCCTTTGCAGATTCACGATCCACCACCACCGTCGTTGTCCAAGTCTTCAACGGCTCCGTGTTGGACAGATGCGGATTGGCCGCCGTTGCAGGAGTGGTAGTAGTAACTCTTCTTTAACAATGTTTGTTGCTAGCTATTATTTTTAATTTAATTACTTTCAGAGCGTGTCATGTTTGACGGTAAAGCCGGAGGGATATAGGGAACATTTATGTGGAATTTAATGGCGTGCGTCTTTGTACTTTTAGCTGTGGAAATGGAGGACTATATTACGAGCAATTAAGTGAAGCCGGGAATTTCCCGTCAAAACTGCAGATGTTGATGGGAATATAACGATTTCAAAGATATTCTTACAGTGGTTGAGGAATTCAGGAATGTTGTCGCATCTTTTGAGATGGTAATCTCAGGCGGTGTAGTAAAGGTAGAATTTGCTCATTATCGGGGATTTTAGTGGGTATTCAGGGTGGCTTCTTTGGCCATGCGAGGAATTTGGGTCACCTGAGGTAGGTGGAAGGCCGCCTCGTTCTACTGTTAGCCGAAGCGGGTTGGTCTCCAAGCCCCCTGAAAGGGAGGCGTCAGTGCAGTTCATGCGGGGGTGATTCGACTGGTTATTATACCCTTGAAAGCTTTGTAACATCGGGTTTGACGGTATGGGGTTTTAGTTACAAATCTGGAAAAATTGCGAAGTAGGAGAACTGAGTCGAAATATTTCATAAACTTAGGTAAGCAGATCATTCGAAAATAGGTTGTGTCCATTTCCGATAAATCTTATAGCGTTCTGATTTGTAATATATTTATCGGGAAAAACAAAGTATGCCGGTGAAGAAACGTTAGATTACCTAAAAATTGGGTATCATATCAATGGGATGAATAATGAGTTAAAGAGTCTGCGCTAGAATTACTGGATGGAAGCCGGGCATAGTTTTGGGACGCTCCGAAATTATTTCTAGTTCGTAGTTCATACTCAGGTAACCCGCCAAACCACTACCAAATTACACAATCAACCACGTCCTACAAACCCACTATATTTGTAAAGTTTTAATAAGAATTGAAAAATCACATATAATTCTTTGTTCGAAAAGTAAGGGAAAACATGCTTCACTAATCATTAATTATATTTGCACTTGTATCATGAAAACAATTATATTTGAGCAGTACTCAGCATCGTGACTACGCAAAAAGCGTAAAAGTACTTCTGCTTTTGCCAACCATCTATAATCACTTTTAAGGAAGCGAAGTTACTCGTCAATGTTTGTTTATACGTACTACTATCCAGACGCCGGCATCAGGTTTTCGTTGCTTCCAGGCCGTGACTAGGTTAGGGTGGTTTTCAATTAATTGGTCAATGTTGGTATTTGCTTAGATGTACTTTTGTTTTTCCACTGTACTCCAGAAATGCACCATTAAACATGCGCAAGCCGGTTTGCTACGCCTGTTTTTCGATATTGCCGTTTTTTGATCTAAAAGTGAAAGTGTATCGCGATTTCAATAAGCCCCTTCAACTGTCATTAGAATTCCGTATATTTTCCTTTTGCTTGCTTGGTTCTAACTTAAACTACTTCATTAGTGCTCACCCAGTATTTCAGAACCCACAAGATTCTGAGCTTGTTTGCACAATTATGAGCAACATCCACTACCTAAAACAACCAAATTTTTCTTGGTGCTTTCTACTCCACATTTGGACATTGTACTTTCTTCTTAGATGGCGCTTCGTTGTTTGCTTGAATTCTATCATTATCAGCTCAAGTCACTCTGTTTGATTTATTTTTTATACCCGTTAAGGAAGAATGTCTCTGGCCGATGAACTTCTAGCCGATTTGGATGACGCCGGGGACGTTGAAGATGAAGAGGACCCATTCACTTCTGCAAAGTTGGAATTAGTGGATGCTAGCGTTGTCGATAATGGTGATACTGAAATGGCAGATACGTCAACAACGAACGGTGTGCTTGTGCCAGAGAGCCTAGTGGGTCCACTGAAGCCCACACACCTCATTCATGCACCCATGATCAATGCACCCATCACTGCTTTTGCTAAACTGAGAAACAGTGAAAAGGTAGGTCAGTGTGTGCTCTATCTGTTCATATTCTTTACCCTTAAGCTAACTAATGTTATGAGCCAAATCGACAAATTTTCGAGACAGGAGAAGAGGGCGAAGATTGTTGGTCCTGTTGAGGCCGATCCCGAGTATAACTGCATTGTTGAGTCGAATAACCTTATTGTTGAAATCGATAATGAAATAGGTAAGTGCTCCTTTAGGGCTTTAGTGACGGCATGCTTTTAGATATCATTCATAAATACGCTCGAGATATTTATCAACATCGTTTTCCGGAACTGGAATCTTTGGTTCCTCAACCCATGGACTACCTAAAAGTGATATTAGTAAGTTGAACCCTTGCCTTATGTTTTTACTTTTAGTAAATCTTGTTATTCACATCACTTCCTAAAGCCTTCAGTGGGTTTTCTGTTCAGTGGTTCGTCTATTTTTTATCGCATTTACTAAGCTAAGTTGTTCCCATGTGTAGGAAAATTGCTGTTGAACTGAATAGGCCTACTGAGTTCTTGGCGGTCTGTTCAGGTCCCGCTAGTAAATGCTTTATTCATCGTTTGCTTTGGATTTGGAGCTTTACCTAGCTTCCATAGTCTCCACTTTTCCATGATCCGAGTTATATAATATTCTGTTGTGAGTGGTACTAATATGTAGATAAATTAATAGTGAAACTTAGGAACAAAGGATTTTCACTTATAACGGAGGATGTTCTAATACTAGTAGGCTCCTGATTTCACTGCTCGTTTACGTACTTATTTTTAGTAGCTTATTCATTACTACCGTGTACACAGACGAACCGTAGGTCTAAAAAATTAAATGAATTTGTGTAAACAGTAGTGACGAATGCGTTGCCCGCTGTAGGCTCTCGACAATGACATATTGGAGCGTTCGAAGAATACCAACCTCCTGGCTTCCTTCCTCACCCCTGCCACGATCATGGTTGTCACCGTGACGGCGTCGACCACACAGGGTGTGCAGCTTGAGCCGGCAGCACTGAATCGGGCGAAGGACGCTTGTGTGATGGCTATTGAACTTTTCGAGATGCGCAAGACTATTATGGACTATGTGGAGTCTCGCATGTCCTTCATCTCACCTAATGTAAGCATACTTGTGGGCGCATCCACCGCCGCAAAACTCATGGGTGAGTGGGCTCTTTTATCTCCGTCGTTCTCAATTATGAATTTATTTCAATGTCTGACCACCCCTAATTAATGTAAATTTTAATAGCTTTATGTTGGTAATACCTTAACCATGGTTTTTTCTATTCTCCATGTGAAGTATCCCCTACTACTTTTGTTCCATGGGTTGCTGGTAATAAGGCTTCGTGGATCTTAGTGCGAATAATAGTTTGGATAATCAAGCTCATAAGTCGTTCTTGTTCGTGTTCTTGCATCTCCACCATCAATAGGTTTGTATTGGTAGTCTTCCAACTGTCAGGTGTGATTGTACTGATTAGTGCGGGTGCGTTTTTGCGAATGAGGCGCCTATCTCTGTCTCCTGATTTCCCCTATTTCCGATTGAATGAATTCCATTACCTATTGATATTTTTTGAGCTACCAATGGTGCCCTTAATACTGGTAATAGTATGAAATTGGCGCGTCGTGTGTGTGGTTGAATCAGCCGTACCATACGCCATGGGCACGATGAAACGCGAAAATGGGGATTCGCTTGTTGCTTGTTCCCCAACGGTTTTCTGGCCCGATGTGATTACGTCAACCTAACTGGATTCCAGAATGCGGTATTAGATTTTACTAATGGGAAGGAGTGAAGGACTAGAATTGTAGATAGCATTATTACAACCAGCATAGTTTAATTTGTGGGAATTTTTTGCCCACCGGCCTGCCACAGATAGTGCAAAACATGCGCTCATGTCTCTTTTCCTCTCTAAAGGTCGAGCTGGAGGCCTGACGGCACTCTCGAAGATGCCCTCCTGCAACATTCAGGTACTGGGTGCGCATCGACGCAACCTTGCGGGCTTTAGCAACAACGCTAGCTTGCCGCACACGGGCTACATTTACCATTCAGAGTTTGTGCAAAAGCTACCACCTGACCTACGCACCAGGGCGGCACGTCTCCTCGCCAACAAGGTGGCGCTGGCCGCGCGTGTAGACTCTTTCCATCGATCCCAGGTGAGTGCTGACGAAGTTGGTGGATTAAATTAACCTTCAATTCTTGAATCTCAATCACTATGAGTGAGCAGCATAGCATTTTCTGCTGCTTGATCCTGCTTTGATTGTAGATGATTTGCAGTTCTTGGTTTGCGGCATTAGTTCTTGCACTGTTCGAGATGAGGAAAACGTTGAGCACGTCGAGATGCAGCTGATATTTGCTAATGATCAAAGTTTTAACGATGTTCATTGTATCATTCTGTTACAAATTACCTATGGGACGTGCTGATTTCCCGGTAATGACATACATTTCTCCCTCCTACACTTCTTATCCCTGAGTTCCAAACATTACTTGCCTATAAAATTAGGTATTTTTTGTTTACCGACCCTCTAAGGAGGCCTAAGTGCTTGACTCATCTGATAATTATAAGTTATTTCAATAACCAAACTTATTGAAGGAAATCAGTAAGATTTGTTGTTTTCTCAACTTTATATTTATCCACTAATCAACCGAAATTGTGACGCTGCTTAACTACAGTTTTTCATGCTCCTCTCGCTCCATGTACAGATTAATTGTGAATAGACGATTCATTCTAACCGTATGGGCTCTTGTTTCTGAAACCGTCGATTTGTTCCTTACCTACCCAGGCCTTCTAATTTGTCACCATCCCAAGTAATATCCCTCAATTCGTTTGTTTTTTGTGCCCAAAAAGGCCGCACTCTTGATTACCTTTACTTTCATAACTCTTTAAACCTTTAAATGCTGATTTTAAATAAATAGTTGAAGTGTAGGATAACAAACATTCGGTAAACGCTGAGAAAACTTGACGTTTTCTCTTGACAGTGTAGAGTGATTCCGGGTTTTTCATTCTTGAACATAATTCATTACCAGGTTCTCATTTTTTGGCGTTAAGTGCATTGTTTAGAGTGAAATGTTTCACCCTGACTGATATTGCGATTTGCGAAAATTTCTGCATTTGCTCCTCTTTTTTAGGATGGAACAATCGGTGAGCAGATGCTTTTGGAGGTGGAAAAGAAGATAGATAAATGGCAGGAGCCGCCTCCGGTGAAGCAGGTCAAGGCTCTCCCGGCTCCCATCGACCCACCAGCAAAGTACGTATCGAGTTGCCGTTCTTCCATTCGACAATGTTTTTGGCTTGAACTTTGTTTATTATTAAGTCCCGTAGTGATGTATCGTATTGCTTGCACATCTCCTTGTTAGTTGTGCGTATGCATGGAAGTATAATTTCAGTCGTATACTGGTGAATTGGGCTCTTCAAGGACATCTCTGGTTGTCTGATTCGTTCCGAGTTTTAGGAAGCAGTGTGATTACTTAAGCGTATATGATGACAGTTCTCTCAGCCTAAATTGGGTAAATTTTTAACTTGAAACAGTTTAAAAGCGATTTTGACGAAACCGAAAGTTTCTTTCTACTAGGTGTATTGAATACTACATGTTTGGGTGTGTGAGAAGCTCCGGGGCACGAAGAGCTTAATTTATTAATGGGTTTCGAGTATCTGATAGTCATCTCTCTGTACCAATTGATCAAGTTTGTACTAACGACGATTAGCGAACTCCGAAACCGCAAATTGGCTACCGTTTGACTGTGGACTCGACGGATAAAGTCTTTGCCAGCTTTTAATCATATTCTGGTTTAATAACTGAAATTTCCATAATCATCATCCTCCATGAGCGCGCCGAAGGAAGAGGTTGTTAGCGACGACTGTTTAATTTCAAAATACTCAATTCTGCATAAAGACAGACAGCTGATTGGTTCGTTAGGAGGTTGCAAAAGTCATTTATTTTCAGCATTTTGGTCCAGAAACGCAGTTGAACGCCTTTCACATTTTCTCACAACGGCTACATTTCACTAATTTCGTGTTCCGGTAGTTATTTACTGTAGTTGCCAATTCAGTGCTTCCACTGATCTTTCCACATCCATCATAGGCCAAGCGGTTTTCACTACCATTTGCTAAACTAAAGCTCATTGATTGACTGGCTTCGTAGGAAGCGTGGAGGCCGTCGATACCGCAAAATGAAGGAGCGTTTGGGAATGACAGAGATGCGTCGCTCCGCAAACCGCATCCAGTTCGGTCAAGTAAGCGAGGACGCCTACCAATCAGATTTGGGCTTTTCGTTGGGCTCGCTGGGCCAGCGCGGCGTGGCGGGTCATCTGCGCGTGCCCACAGCGGATTCGAAGACAAAGGCGAGGGTGAGCAAGGCGCTGCAGCAGAAGCTCTCCAAGTATGGGGGCCTTTCCACCATGCCCACCACCGCACTGGGCGCTGCCACCTCCTCGGCTGTTTGGGGCACCACCTCTTCAGTGCGTCGAGGCGGCACCGAGACCGCTGGAACTGCATCCTCAGTCACCTTCACTCCAGCACAGGTGAATCTTCTTCTTCTACACATTAAATGCATTAGCTGATTGTAGACAAATTCAAAATCTGCTGCTACAACGAATTAATGCACAGTCTTGTTCATTGTTTCTGCCACTTCACTTGCTCCAGCACAAATTCGGATTTGACGGCCCCCTATCCTGCTCACGATTTCGCATCTAAAGTTTGGACATATCTTCACTTACCTATGTTCATTTTTGAATACTTGTTAGTGGAATCACTGAATGTTTGGGAGACTGGTTGAAGATTTTGTGGCACTTGACTACTTAAATTTTATCAATTATACCTGGTCTTCGAAGCTGTACTTGCTCACTTGGTTGGGTGAACACCTGAATGCGCCAAATTAAACGGAGATCCGGTACATTTTTCCAATCTTAAGCCCTTGCTTTCAGGCATTTTGATGTTCCCAAACTTTTGAGGAAAACCTTTTCTATATGGACACATCTGTGAGTTGTGCGACCCAAATGAATCGAGATTGCTATGTACATTCAACGTGCCTCTCCGGATCTACTCATTTCTGTTTTCACTCTTTCTGGCCGTGGCTGGATAGCCCCGCGCTTGAGTGAATCAAAAGCTTTCTTGCACTCCGTAAATTTTCATCATCGAATCCTTTTGGTATTAGATGAGTGTTTGCGAACCTCGGAACAATCTTTTCTAGCGACTGACATTTGAAGACTTCGAATTTGATGCAAATGAAGCATCCTTTTTTCACTTCACATTAGCCATGGTGGTACGTCTCAAACTTTCGAGTGAGCGAATCGTCAGCAACAGATAAACGTTTGTGAAACTGTAATTCCTAACCTTTTAATGAAATCCTTCTGACCCGCCCCCACTTCCAATTATTTACCTCTTGATTTTTGTTCCTCGTTGGAATGACAGTTCCGAGTCAGGGGTTCATTCAATGCCATCATTTTGTATTTATATGCGGCCCTAAAGTTTGATGGTCTACGGGGGAATGTGAAGTATTGGGGTTAAACTTTAAATTCGTTAGCCGTTGTCCATGTAAACCTACTTTTTCCACTGAACTTACATGGCTTGAAATGAGCAGTCGATAGCACGTTCGTCCGTTAACGGCCACTGAAAATGCAAAAACTTTGAGTTCGTCTAGCGTTGAATTTTATATTTTAAACTTTCCAGGGTCTCGAGATCGTCAATCCAATGGCGTCACAGAAGCAGGTGGATGAGCACAAGAAGTACTTCAGTGCGACCGCTGGTTTTGTTAAGTCGAAAACCAACTCCAACGACAGCATGCCGCCTCCGGCACCCAAGGCCACATAAGGGCGCCCGACCACTTTATATTTTTACGCAAACTTGAGATGTATATAAATGAGGGCAAAAATCCGATCAGCTGAGCTTTTTCTCTGGATTTCGGAAGGAACCCTTGCTAAATTAGACATGGTGCTACCAGGTTCGGCAGTAGACAGACGGTGCCTTTTTCGGTTAGGTGGCATGTTATTGGAATCTGACTCTTTCAGGTTATCCATTTATAGGAGAAAAACTTCATTTACCTCTGCATAAATGAAGCAGTGATAATGTTTCTTCGCGGTGGTAGTGGAGGTCAGACGGAGAACGGACGAGGTGGCCGACAAGCTAGGTGGGTGTTAAGTTGACCGAATGTCTTTGGTTTTTGCATCTTGGTGACCTTGACCAGGATGACAGGTCACGTGGGAGATTAAGATGGACTGGCCCAGGGGCAATTGTAGCACGCGTGGGTCCACCCATCTCCAACGCGAGCTGCCAAGACAAAGTGAACCGTGGAAGTGCCCCATCACAACACTGTTTAAACTGGGAGAGGAGCTTGCTGTGTTCGCGGTTTCGTTTTCTTGACCTTATCTTACTCATTGATAAAAACATCACCTGTCATAACCACTGAATAATACCGGATGTTTTGAAAATCTGAAATAGGACATCTACTGAGCTTGCGTTACTTGGAGCATGTCCGGTTACTAACGGGTAGGAACCAATCTCGTGAGCTTGGACATTTTACTTCGGTGACGTTCACCATTTCGTTGACTCCTCCCATCGCCATCTATGCAAATCATAAGTAGATGAAATTCCTCGCCCAACCTCTTGGCGTCACAGACCTCGTTTTACCAACGTAATCAAGTGTCTCGAAGATGATTCCTCCAAGTTGTACACCTGCGAAGCTGCAGACATGCTTTGATTTCGTCGAAATCGCCTGCAAGCTGACCTGCTTCATCACTACGCCATGAATGCATTGATCAAAACAATGATGAAACACGAATAGTACCGCATTCCGCGGTTGAGCCATTACCGTCAAGTTTTGGTTCCACCGATCCTCAAACATTTCAGTTAAATTGACAGCCAACTAGGGGAATACAGTGTACACATATATATTTTCAAAACTCGGTAAAATTTGTAAGAAATACAAACACACAAGGGTAGAGGAGCCGAAGGTCATTCAACCCTCCCGTTCTGTGGCCCCTGCTCTGTTCATCTGGCTGAGCCGGTCCAGACGTTGAGCCATCACTTGGAGGAAGAGCTGTTCACTTGACGAGAGATAGGGAGCCTATAGGAAAGTAAGGGAAGAATGGACATCTTTAATTTTATCGTAAAAGCTATTGAGTTCCTCAATTTGACAGCGATGACCCTAACGTCTATTCCTTGTGCGAGACTGGTTTAGCAGCAGAAAATATCAGAAATTTAAACGCACAACGAGAGCTGAACACGGAGCCAGGCAGCAAAACAAGTCAAGCAGGGAACCGTATTTACTCAACCTGTCATGCGTTGCGGTTAGCCAGGTGGGCAGCCAGGGAACAATAGTAACAGCACTCGTGACAGCGCAAGCACTTTTGTAACGCAAAATGTGAATGATGGAAGTAAACGGATCAAATCGGACAAAAGACAACTAGTGATAGAGAAGCGGTTTATTCCACATGTGGCGATGACGGCGGAGGGATGTGCAGTAAGCAGAAGCCATACAGAGTTATGCATGACCAATATGAGGGCAACCGGTATCTGGATCATGTCCGTGACTGTGTGACCATGCTTGAGGAATCTACAGTCTCGAGCGTCTCGGCTGACTATCAGGACTGATGACACGTCTAAATCACATGTGATGCTCAAGATCACGAAGAGTCAATCGCGGGGATAGTACAACACAATTACACAGAGGAACAACGAGTTAAACAAGGATATCAGTAGGGAAGTCGCAGTGCTGAACACTGTGCACTTGAATGACGGACATCAACTGTCTCATCATCATAACACAGAGTTTAAGAGTTAAAATCCATTAAATTTAACTCTTTCCCAAGTTCTTACGTTGTAAGTGTGTACTACAACTTTTTTAGTGATAATTTTCAAGCATAGAATTCATCGTAGAATATGATGTAGAAGACAGTTCAAAACATCAATGAGCATTTTTGGTGACAGTTTTGCTAATTAACACACAGTATTTTAGCTGATTTTCCATCCACGTTTAGTGACGACCTTAACCTTGACAATGATCCACGCGAAATGCTTGAGCTGAAATAACAGCGCTTCTGTAAAGAAATTAATATTAGAATCAAGTGCAATTTCACAGCAAGGTAATTACAAGTGGTTGCACATTCGGTGAAAGCGAAAGTAGGAAAACCTTTCTGACAAGGCCTCCGGTTGGCATTTTCTATCACTTGACCTGACTATAGAGTATAATAAGAAATTGAGACTAAATAATGGAAACAGGTGAAGGCAACGCTTTAGCAGTCCCAGGGGAAATGCAACTCAACCCCAAAGCTGATACCATTCACCAAATATGCACCAGCTCAGTAGCACTTCTAACGGACGATCTCAAACCGGACACTTCATTTTTAATGATCTATCGTCAGTTATATGCTGTTGAATTATCCGATTATTGAAAAACGACACCATCGTAATGTTTGGTGCTTCTCACTACATCCCTATGAATGGGTTACACCTGCGCGGACAGTTCGAACTGCCAACGAAAGAATAGTTGGCTGATGAAAATTCGCCACTGGAATCTCAACGAAAAGTGGGTTGCCACAACCCCGACACGATTATTCTAGTGATGTCAACAATTAGCCTATAAAAGTGGCAAACATTTAGCTGTTGCTTATAAACTGAAGGCGTGTTCCCTTCAAATTAGGATAATCTTATGGTAATTTTATTACTTTACCTTTAACCAGTCTATTTTCAACACATGATTTGATGTGACTGTTTATCAAAAATTATGGAGACAGTTACTAGAAATTTGTGAGGTTGGATTAGATTGAAAAATCCGGGTGTCAAAGGTGACATCTGGATGAAAAGGGATGGGATGGAACTGTCAATGAGGAGGTGAATTATTACTCAAATGGAAAAAAAGGAAACAGGACCGAAAAACTGGATAGGTTCCAGTTCATGAACAATGCAAACGCCAGAAGAGGGAAAGTTCACACAACCAACAATGCCCGAACCAGAGGAGCTGAATTTAGAACTTCCGTCGTCACTGACAAACGCATCCGCCAGCATGCTCAAATGCTGCGTTGATTCGTGTTTTACAAAATCGGATATCACATGCTCATTTGTCTTAGTAAGTAGAGGCATTGAATCGAACTAGGATTTACAACCCACCTTGGAGACTTGAGTGATACTATCAAGAAGGTCAAAAGAGAGTTTGCGTTGTAGCTGCTCAACAAACTCGGCGTCCACAAGTCGCCTCGAGCAGCGACGTGGTGTGCTGCAGTCGCCACCAAGCTCCGTTGGCATCTCAGGTTTGCCGACAGAGGCGAGAAAACAGGCGAGATGGCGCCAGAGAAGGTAAAGAGACTGCTCTAAAACGTCTGGTGTGCAGAAAAAGAGTAGACAAGGAGAGTGAGGGGCGAAGGCAAAGAAGAGAGGGAAGGGAAAGAAAGCAGAACGCACCGATGAAGCAAGCCAATTGAGTCTGCAGCAACCCTCCTCCTAGGGAAATAAAACGACGCAGGTAGGTATTCCGTTGACCGGCGTCAACTCCGGTAGCGATACTAAGGAAAAAGCCGGAAATAGTGTAACGGAGTGGCATGTCCCCCATCACTGCACCTCCACAGTGTTGGCATGGAGCACGCTCGCCACCCTCATGCAGGTTATCTCCCAGTTCTTGCACATATTTACCAAGAAAAATTAATTGCTAATGATTATATCAACCATTATCCGTCACTTTCATATCACAAACTATTAAAGCAGCCAAAATATAAACATCACGTCTTTAAAAGACACAATCATAAACCCCCACGTCTCTGTGACGGTGTTTGGGGAAAGAAAGCATCAGGAAACGTCGCAGAAACTACTAAAAAACGCTTTTTGAGGATTTGAAATCAGCCTATACGGAAATGGATCATGAATGACAAGCAAGCTTTTTAAGAGCCAGCTTAATGTTATAGAGACCTCTATAAGCAAGCGCTATCGCGGAGGCGCGTCAAAGACTTCAAAGAGAGACTGGGAGCATACCTTGTCTGGAGTAGAGGACCCACAACAGGCGTCCATATGGAGAAGACGTTGGTGGCAACTTGATGCAAACTGTCAGTGGAGATTTCCCCACCAGATGAGTGGACGTTTATCTGAAAGATGGGAGAAGTACGCTTTGTAATTAATAAAGAAACAAAAGAGGACGTAACAAAATCGGGAATAAGATTTCAGTTGTGCGTTTGTGCATGATCAAACAGGAAATGTGCAAGTAGGCATCTATACATCCATCAGGCATTGCTTAAATTTGTTGGCCATAAAAAAGATATCTTGGTGCTTGCAATAGAGCATTGTGCGCTTATATACTACTAATTAAATGATCACATTTAGCCACCCAAGTGAAGTGGAAAGGGCTTGAAAGGTATCGTGTCTTAAAGCGTATGATTTTCTGCAAAAGTAAATTTAAAGCCAAGAAAAGAACATTTGCTAGACCCAGCCCCAAAAACGATCATTCTTAAATGCCAAAATGAACCTGAAACATCGGATCTAGATAGGCGCTATTGGGCAATCATGGAGAAAACATGGCCGAAGTTTTGGCAAGAACAGTAGTAAGCTACCATATGCTACTGTTAATCTGTAAGAGAAAACTTAGAAAACCTAGAGTTCGTTGATTGACACAACAAAGGTGGCGAAAAAACAATGAGATCACATTTTCCCCTGTTATTAACCCTAAATTGCGGTGAGGAAGAACCTTTACCAGTGTCGACTAAAGAAATACGCTTGCTTTAGTAGGAAGACGAAAGGAGGTGTCTAGAGATGGCTAAATCTCTCTCGTGGAACTAGCTGCGTGATAAGTAGTGGAAATAACAATGTATCAAGTGGCAAGACAAGACAGGAAGGGTGGCAGATAGGTAAGCTGTTGTGAGGGACCCCTCTTTCGCATTCTTATGATGAGTGCATCGGGGAACGGAGACAGTTCATTACTGGGAGGAACACAAAGCATATCGCACACAATTCTAACCGCAACCAAATAGAAAATACTCCTCCCACAATCTCTACAATTAAAGACGTCACCACATACAGGTAGTTTGACAAGACAGCGAAGAACCTTGTCCAGCGATAAGAGACCACTGGACTTCCTGCCCTCCTCTTCCTCCTTCCCACCTCCACCCTCACCAGTGCCACTGAGGATGCTGAGTGGTAGGTAGCGAGTGAGGGGGTTGACCAGATCCTCTAGGCAATGCAGTCGCGAGGCCGACCAAGTGACCAGCTCGAAGAGGAGGTGCAGGCCGGGGCGACTCAACGGCGCGCCTGCGATCAGAGAGACATCGCTGTTGGAATCGTCTGTGGATAAGGCGTAGGGTAAAAGTTAACGAGTGGACCTTATTAGGCACATACTTTTGCTGTGGAGATTCGCAAACGTGGTAATACCAAGAAATAAACACAAAGGGTTGAGAATTACATGAGAACTCCACGTACTTAGTAGCCATGCTAACATAGATTAAATTGGTGGTGCGAAACCAAGTAACCTGAAAGGTCACGAGTAGGCTTACTTGCAGAAAGGGAGGATGAGAAGATGAGATTCTTTGTAAAAGTCGAATCAAAGCCGTCAAACTCGTCCTCAGTGGAAACAGCAGCCACACAGATGCTCACTAACAAACGCAGCAATTCCAATTGTTCCGTGATTACAAGATTTCTAACAAAAATTTGTCTGAAGAGAAGGAAAATAACAAAGTAGCTGAGAGATTTCGTGTAAAAACGTAATTTAATCGGAATCAACCAAAGCACCTGGCATTGTTGGGTGAATTATTGTCACTGAGAACGCGATTATCCTTATTTTTTAGCGTGCGCAACAAGTCTGGGGTAATGGCAAAGACGTGACGCAGCGTCTTGCCTCGCAAAAGCTCACGCGGGAGATCGTCAGGTCTAGAGGAAGAAAAGTCAAATAGAGGAATAACGAAAAAAGGACGCGGAAAAGGGAAGAAAGGTAAAGTTACTCACTCTTCCAGACTGAAAGGAATCCTCGAGCGCAGTATAAAGGACAGAAGATGAGCCAGACTCTCCTCGCCCTGAAGCCATTGAAGGGCCGCCTGGACCATCTGCTCCTGTTTATCCACAGACGCAGAGTTCTCCTCTTGGAAGCATTCTTGCATGAGAGCAGAGAGTAGCCGCACCGCGGAGGCACTAGCTCCCACTGTCAACAAGGCATCGGAATGAGTGTAGATGAACTTCGAGACCTTCTGCACCGCGGACACATGAGTGGGACCCAGGGTGAAGACTAGAGACTTGGCAAGAGCCAGAGCCGGAGCAAGAATGCCCACCCAATTGAGGCACTGTCCAAAATCTAAAGAATATCCAAGGCTAGACCCAGAAGCAGAGAGGAGCTGTGAGGTAACCAGGCGATCGATGAGGCCTATGGGAATGCATCCAACGGGTTCGCCTGCTTCCTGTTGATTCAACATATGAAGGAGGTGCTGTGCAAACTCGTAAGTGCCCAACCAACTAAGTGGATCTGACTGGGTTTCAGTTACAGCATTATAACCACTACTGAAAGTGGCTACGGAAAGATTTAGAGCGTCGGCAAGACAGGATCCAGAAAGAGGTTCAAACCGACAGAGGGTCGAGTCGAGAAGAGGGGTTTGAATAAGGGCCCTGGCACCCAGCTGGGTAGAGGCTGTAAGGGTGAGAAAGGCCATTTTCGATTGATAGACGTAGAAGACTGCGGTGGCATCAGACTGACCCTTTGCTTCATTTACGTCTTTATCTAGATTCGTAGAATTGTCATTTCGGGACATTAGGTACTGCTGCAAAATGGCCAGATCCTCGTCCAGACTATCAACGCAGAACTGAAATGAAACAGAGACAAACTGATGCAAAATAGTGTATATTTTGGGGAAAGGAAAATGGAAAAGGATTGCAAACCTGTAGACAGCCATCCCGAATAACAGTCTCCATAATTTGTCCTGAGGCACGATCTAGTTTCAATAGAAGGCAGAGCAGTCCCAGAGCGGATATGGGAACAATAGGATGATGACCATTTGAGATATCGGTAAAGAGTACAGTGAGGAAAGAACTGCTAACAACGTTTCCATCATCACCCGAGAGGATATTGATTGCTTGGAGTGCTAAGGATACCTCTGTGACACCACCAACACCAGAAACTGAAACCTGTTGATCTGGAATGGAATGAGATGGTTAGTTTGGTGAGATGAACCCTCATAAGCACTTTAGTAGTAGAAAGATGTTTGGGTAAGTAATATACCTAACTAAGTGGGATTTCCAGTCGCCTACACTACTAATAGCCAAAATCTATAGGGCAATAATAAATCTACTACCAAACTTGTATGTATTACATCGGTCAAGGATAATCTAGATATTACAGCGACGGAAGCGATAAGCGAATCCACCCCAATAGAACAACAATCACGGTTTAGCTGGCTGGGCAATACATCAAAATGCCATTATAGTTATGCGGAGTCACATAACAGTTCTGCTACAATTCTATTAAACTTGCCAATTACCCCAAAACCAAAGTCTGCATAACGGCCAGTAAGAGGCCAAACGTGAACAGCCATATATCTCCACTGCTTATATTGCTTATATGACGACAATGGTCAATGATCAAGACCTAATGAAACGAAACAAATTGGAAATGGAATGCGCTTGCTCAGTGAAATGAGCTTTAATTTTGCTCCACCTCTAAACTTTGATGGTCCTACTTAACAGGTAAATCCTTCTCTGAAGGAGTTCATTTAACAGATAACATAGTGCTTAGGAAATCCAACTGAATCTCCAATACAATTGATGGAACCAAAGGCTCAACGTATAAATCTCGTTCCGTCCCGCGGTGGATTACAGTTCATTAGAAAGTTGACAGCCTAAGTAGAAGCGACAATATTGAGCTCAAAAGGGCAAAGAGACCATGGAATTGAAATTGTATTCATTTCAACCTTATAAATGATTAAACACTTCGGCCTCCAGTACTGTACATGTTTAGCAAAGCTTTATCTAGACGTGCACGCCTTTAACACCCTTAGCGGATAATTCAGGCGTCACAACACAAAACAGTCAACTTACCAAATCGGTGGCAGACGTCAAGGACATAGCACAGAGCACCATAATAGTTGGCACGTACACGCTGTTGAGTTGGTTCTAGGCGGGGGGGGGGGAGATAAACATGTTAGGCTAACGGATAAGTAACGCCGAAAAATAAACAACAAGGGGGTGACGCACTGGAGGTCAGGACGGCCTCGAGAAGTAGTTTCGTTACGGTGAGGATGCCTTGTGTTCCGCTCATCTTCAACAGCATCCTTGATCCATACGCGGATATTGGCGAGGCGAAGAGTTGTAGGAAAGCTGTCAGACTGAGGCAACTGCCACTAGCCAGGACTTTAAGTACTGCGGGCGCAGATTCGGGTGCTGCAATCTAAAGAATTGGGGGCTATTGTGAGACATCAAGACCATAAACAAGAAAAAAAAGTTGTAGAGAGAACCTGTACTAGTTTTCAAGTGAACCGAGTGAACGTAGTGCAAGCTTCCCAGATTATAAGCAGAAGCAGATTATACGTGGAAACACAGTCAAAGGATAAGTGAATTCTACCCAGTTAAGACAAATAATCCTTATCCTACCACCAAGAGGTGCCTCTGGTAGCGTCTTTTGTCGATCCACAACTAGCCTTTTCTTCTGACAACGACGTATTACCTCTGAGAAAAAAGTACGAATTCCGAAAATATTTTGAAGTTGGAAATATGGAGAAACAAGATCTGGTATATGGCAAAATTTTCAAATACAAATGTTCGAATCGGATGATAGTTAATTGATCATATGCCGAAAAATTTTGATCGAGCTCAAAACGACAATTCAATGGAATTTCCACATAAATAAAGCTTTTAGAGAAAGAAATTATCTTCAAGTAAACAGATTTTAGATTGGAATGCATCGAGAGTTGCTGTTTGGATGACAACGCATTGACACATCATCCTCGCACTATTAAAAAAAATTAGTTACACAGAGACCGCATTCAAACGTAAATTCCATCGAAAACACACGTCCTGTCTGATTATCTTTCTTCTAAATGTCGACCCTGTAGAAGTAGTCGATTCACTTCCCCACGAATCGTGACAAAAACATCCCACAATTTCACCAGTTGGCATTAAGAAAACAAAAACGTGTCGTTGAGCGGCTTACTCATTTGAACTAAGGTCTTAAGTTTGATATAATAAAGAACTTCAGCTTCGAAAATTGGATTCGTACTTAGCAATCTAATACATACTTTTGGACAAGAGGGCAACAAGGGAATTCACAACGTGAGATGGTGCAGAAAACAGCCAGAACGCTAACAGAGGAACAATATTTGTTAGTCATATACTCAACTATTTGGGATTTACCAGCCTCTACCAACACGCTATTCTTCCACATATTTTGCATGATGATAATACGTCCTACACTAACTCCAAACTCACCTCACTGAGCAAGCAATGGAGAAGAGTCATGTTGGATGCATAAAGATACCGACTGACAGCACTCCCTGCACCAGAAAAGATGCTAGAAGAGGTGGTGGAAGTAGTGAGACCGAGAGCCTCGGGCGAAGAGCGCGCCAGGAAGTGAAGCATGCGGAGGCCGATCTCAGCAAGGTGACGCCAGCCCTCTAAAAACGCCTGTTTTCCAGCCACCAGGGCCAGGCGATGCGCGTTGCGACGACTTGCCCACTCTGCCACGTCAGTGGCCAGACAGACACCGGTGCCGTCGGTAGTGGCGGCAGCTGGCAGCGGTGCTGAGGCTTCAAGCACACTCTCCTCCACTGCCGCCTTTTGAGGCACACCAGAGGGAACAGGGGTAACACCTAGGAAAATATTCAGGCGAGAGACCAGCGAGGCAGTATTGATGACGCCCGAGCGCAGTGACACTTGTTCATCGGTGGAAATGAGGGAAAAAACCTCCTCACAGGCTATGACGATCTGAAGAGGCAACAGTCAGGATAAAATACGCTGATAAGTCGAAGTGTGGAAGTTTAAACGACGAAGAAATGCTAAGTAGTTATCAACATGGCATATGATCTGTCTGGTTAATATAAAAGCTCTTTTGTGGAAGCAACTTCAAGCAAATTAAGCAGAAATTGGGTTAAAAATATTAAAACTCAAGTTAACGGAGTGTACAAGCAAAGCATGCACCACTGAATCGAACGTTTAAAGCAGAGGCATTAGAATAAATGAATAAGGTATAGCTGTGATTCAATTTTCGTGAAATTCAAATTAGAACACAAGGGTGCTCATCATTTCAAGGCTCCCCGTGACTAGAGGTACTCGGCGCAAATGAGGGTAGCGAACTAATCACTACACAATGTAAAAAGCAATAAAAAAATGGGTAGTCTTACGTCTTCCACAAGCTTGGACTCGGCACAATCGCGCTCAAACGGCCACCGGGGACTGGGCATCGCCTCCGAGGGTGCCATCCGCGACAGCAGGTCCGCAAGAACTCGATTTTGCGGTTCTGTCGAGTCGGAGCAGGGTAAAATGGAGGAGAAATGATCCGTGACTGAGGAAAAGATGAGTGAAGCGAATGAGAAGGCAAAGAACCAGTTGCACACATCAAGCTGGAGTGATACATTAACACCGATTTGAGTGAGGTATTAAAAAGTTGAGAAAATAATGACCACAGGAGCAGAGCTCAACATTTGGAAAAAAAGCCGGTAAAAAAGTGGTGCCTCAAAGGAAGGTAGTATCCAAACAACAGACATTTTGACGGTCAAACTTCACTTAATAGACATACAAAACGGAAGGTCAAATAACGATAGGCGGCATAAGATCACGAGAAAATTTTATGAAAAGGATTTGAAAACTAAAGGTATCAATCTTATGGAACACTTACACGAAACCGGTTGCCCACCAACATCGCCAGCACCACCAGCAGCGTTCTCATTAGTAGGGAACAGATTAATGAGCAGCCGAGCCAAGTAGGTGCGCTGCGAGGTGGAAGACTGCGCTTCAATTGCTGCCATCTTCATTAGCCAGGAACACTGGTTCAGCACGAGGGACTGGAGAGCTAAAACAGAAGCGTCGGCGACTATAATAAGAAAAGATGAGGACTGAAGGGATTTAAGGTAACACCTACCACATTTAGCATTATCCTCTGATGACGTTGATGCAGACAATGGAGAAGGGGCAGCGAGAAGGACTCCAATAAGGCCGGTGGTAAGATGACGTGCGATGAGGTCGTGGTTGCCACGGAGGTAACGGGAAACAGGGACAGCCGTGGTGGTGGTGGCGGCCATAAGGTGGTAGAGGATTTGCCAGCCTATCGCAGCATCCCACTGTTGCATCAGCAAAGAGACGTGCGGCGGGCAGGCCTCCAGTTCGGCCACTAAATTCTCACGCAGACTGGCCACGGCCAATTCGAGGAGATCGAGCAGCGCATGCAGGCAGGTTCGAGGAAATCCACCCACGCCGGCGTCCTGTTTTGATTTCGTAAAAATGCATATATATTACTTGGTTAAAATTAGAATAGAGTAGTATGAGGCAGGAATATGTTTAGAAGTGAAATCTGGCTAGTTTTATGATTAAAATTCGAGTGCAATCAGCATCGCAAGCTCCATTTCCATAAACACATGTCACTCAACTCCAGGAAAAGAATTTAGGAAGCCTACGGCGAGGGAACTAGCCCACAGCTACATATACCAAATCAGCAGAGAAGCATAGGGAAAGTGTGTTATGGATACGAGAGAAACACGCTTGATTAACGCTTAGCAAGTAAAGGGAAGATGGTTAAATAAGGAAAAGTGAAGAAAGGTGATAAGGTACTCTACTCATACACCCCGAGCGTTCGTATTATAAACACACACTTCTTAACTAGAGTAAACAAATACACAAAAGACTAATTTTAAGATGCCTTCATTTCTATACCTAGAGTCAAAACGCTTTCTAAGTTCGTTTCATAACTACCTAGTTCTAACAAATGTCGACAAGCTAAACAAGAATGTTAATCACGGAGAGAGCTAAGGACAACGCTCAATCAACATCTTAGCTTTGTAGCAATGACAATTTTCTAATTATTTCCATATATCTGGTCTCATAAACTGGTCTCTACGCCGATGGCATAGAATACCACCCATGATACCCATGCTGCTGGTCTTTCACCTTTCCTGCTAAAGTTACTTGCAGACTCAGCTTATGAGGTCCCCAGGAGTAGCTCTGGTGCCATAATATTGCATTCGATGACTGTTTCATTTCATCCCGAAGACCCATACAAGTTAATTTCGATGAATCGTATGGGCTCATACATAGAGATTGATTTTAAAAGAGGCATGAAAGACGAGTTAAAATGGAACACTCCAATTCTGGATTAAAAGTGGTAGTGTGGCATAAGTAGGTTCAGGAACTACAAATTTTTACAAAAAAGTACAAGTACACATGTATTATGATGTTAAAGAGACCATAAACTGCTCCACCTCCAGAACATTTTAGGATGAATCGGAACAATAAATCCCTCTACAATATGTAACTTAGAACGAGTCAGTATAATTACAATATCACAATTTCACGACTCTGACTTGCGGATATGTTAAGTGTGCTCAATAATTACTAAAATTTGGCATTTTCCTCAAAACAGTACAAGGAGAGGAATATTAAGCGCAACGGCGTTCCCGAGGGTGACATTACCTGAAAAGTTGTCAGAGCAATGCTGCGTGAGTTCTTGCAGCGGAATCCCAAGAGCCAGTGGGCGATTGAGGGACTCGGATGGTTGGTCAGAGCATAGAGAATCAAACGCAGAATTGTTGAGCGAATTGAACATCCATGACCTTGACGCCATTGACCTAAAGAAAGTAGAGGCACTTGAAGTGTTGATAATTAAAAAGGCGAGATGCAGACTTGGAGCATCAAAAGGACATCATGGTGCATTCGAACGATACAAAATATACAATCTCATAACAAACATGTCTTTAAATGGCAAAATATGGGTGATCTACTATTCAAACTGAAAAAAATGAATCCTGTTGACATATCATGAAACAAATTTTGATGTTTGCTATAGATCCATTAACTGTGCATTTGATCGAATCTCAAAGTTTCTGACCTTCAAATACTGATTAAGTTAACATGATGAAGTTACAATCAGGTTAGCAGAAAACGAAGAGATCTCACCAAACGACCAAATGACATCAAGCTCACAAAAAGCACCGGGCATCAAATCGGCTGAAGGCGATTTTTGTGAAGGGAAGGCGGCCATAAACTCCCATCGTGCTTCACTCATATCCCAATCGCAGGGCATGGTGGGAAAGGCGGTGAGAACGCTGGCCACTCTGAGTGTGGGGTTTGGCGGGTAGCAAACACCACCACCCCTACCGCCACAAGAATCAAATCCTTCATCGACAATCGTTCCCGTCCCAGAGTCGTCATAGAGCCAGGCGTCGGAGAAGACCGGTGGTGACTCGCTGCCAGTCTCGTCTGTGCCTCTGCTGTCAGACAACTCGCACAGAGAGGTATTAAGGCAGGAGACCAGAGCGCGCAACAGTTCTTGCTCTAATTTCTACAAAGGTAATGGAGCAAGTTTACCTATGAATAGATATTAAGCCACAGGCTCAAGCGTTGCATTGGCCAGTCAGGCGCCAAAACAACCATAAAAGTAGGCGACATATACTTTTGGCTACCAAATTAGGAAATAGAGCATCAAGGAAGACCGCTCTTAGTCAAATTTTTATGATTTGCTCTTAATCTGAAACCAATGAGTCAAGTCAGCTTTTTAATTCAAAAAACACCTACCCATAGTAAGGTAAAGCAAGAAAACAGGATTTATGGACGGATTATTTAATATGAGACTGAAAAGATCAGGGAAAACTAGCTTAATGTTGAGATTTAGCACACCTTAACTAATGTCTCAATGAAGAACTTAAACTAACAATGAGATACTGGAGCTTCACAATACGGTTACAGTCACATCATATCAATGAGTCAACAACCAGCATTTCATTTCAACATGAGCAATTGTACACAGACTATTTCAGCACCTAATACCAAAAAATTGGTCATAGGATTTTCAGGGAAGACTTGGATGTCACATCTTGAAAAAGCGAAGCAATAATCTAGGACAGTAACAATAATGGTCTCTAAGCCATTTTAATGAGTCAATAGTAAACACGGTACGAAATAAGACGACTTTAGTAGCAAGGTTAGAGGGCGTCAAGGTAGAACAAGATGTTTTCAAGGAGTCAACAATTAGGCCAATTAGACACTCCCTTGCCTTATCATTGGTAAGGACGGCCAGCACAGATTCATGTGGCTGCACAGCACGCACAACACCGTAGAGGATGTTAAGCGCCGAAGTGCCATGGTCTGGAAGGTCATCGGAGAGACCGCAATACCTGAAGTCAGCCAGATAGTGAGAAGTTTACTAGACATGGCTACGTTGAACAAAGATTGGAAACCATCTGAAGCGCAGGTCCACCTACCGAACAATGGTGACAAGGAGATCAGCCCGACCAGTTCTCGAATTGATAGTCACCACGAGGAGACGCGAGAGCAAGGTAGGTAGGATGACATCGGCGCCTGATCTTTGGCCCCACACAGTCTCAGGACTAACGAAAACAGGCATAAAAGTGATTGTAGGGAAGAGATGCAAAAGATAGTCCAGCCATCGCCATAACACCTACCACAGATGAGGCATCACAAGAACAGCTCGACGCACAAGATTTAGGACCATCTGCTCCTGTGGAAGAATGTGTTCAAAGAGACGTAAAATTGCCGCCGTAGCTCGAACCATGGCGCAGGAGATAAAAGCGGTGGAATTCTCCAATAGGCGGTAAAGTCCTACTTCCAACAGCCCAGTCAGCTATGAAAACAATGGGTGTAAAAAATGCTCTCATTCAAAAGCTGAAGAAGCAGTAGCTGCTGAGACATACCAGAGAGAATAGAGAGGAATTAGTGAGCAGCTGAGTGACGATTTGATAGCCAGGGTCGATGAACGGCCAACCACGGGGAAGGTTGAGTTTGGCCGTGTTCACGTGGCCACCGAGGAGAGTAGTCCAATCGAAGAGGGCCAACTGCTCGTCGCTGCAGTGCCCGGCACCCGCAATGAGAATGGCCACCGAGCGCATTCGACGCAGAAAAGTACGGACCAAACCTTCGAATAAGATCACACAGGACGCCGCAACCTCCCACTAAACCCGCACAAAAATCATAGATAAATTATTTCCCTTTCTTTCAAACAAATATTGAGGACAAAGAATGAAAACTCGCCCTTTCATTCTGCCTACGATAGGCACGCATGGTATGCTTCAAGAAGATTGTCTCAGTGATGAAATGAACTAGACGGGAGAGCGCCTCGCAAGGCTCCATGGCCGACGAAGTAAGCTTACTTGTACCCACAGCGGAGTTCAATAGAGATGGCGCCAGTGTTGTGAGAATGTTTAAGAAGGCCTGTGTGATTGGATACTCCTCTAACCGTGCTTCCAACTTGTCCATCTCCGTCTAGTGAAGCAGGTAAATGCCAATAGGTAACGATGGCTCAAATGGCAAATGTCATGAAAAAACCGAAGTCCTAGAAAAAAAGCAACAATTAAAAGCATTAATAGATCAAGTATCTACTGGTTCTTGGAAACAGAAATCAGTTCATCAACCCCTATCTAACGAGGATAAAAGTAAGATTGACTGAAGGCAACGCTAAAGCTTCAGGAAACTTGGTTAAAGGTGGAGTAAATAAAGCGTGAAGATCGGTTTTCAACCAAGACTTTGTTTTGCTTTTTCAAACTCCAACCAGTATGGGGAAATGAAAGTTAATCAAAGCAACCTTGTCAGCAAAAACAACACCAAAACGGAAAGTCTTCAAACAGCACAATCAATGAGAGACTAATTCAGAACGGCGTAATTGATTCCCCAACACAACACCTGAGGTGTCTAAACTCCTTTTAGTTAGAACTCCTGGCTGATGGGGGAGTCAACAGCAAGGAACACCAAAACTAAGATCCCCAAAACTGCGTTAAAAGGGAGAAAATTTAGCAGCAAAGGCTGACTAGATTTTTACCATCCCTCTGCTTTAAGTAAACTCATCTAATAGGGGAGAATCGGAATCTTTTGTACAACGCAGTCGGCACTACAATCGAGTCCTCAGAAAGTGCAGCGATGAAGGGATCAGGCTAACGAGTAGTGATGAATTTATTCTCAATAATTTTGCTCTGTCTAGATCTACCGCAGAAAAGGACACAAAAACTAGAACTCCGGAAACTGTAATTATGGTAACCAAATTCCCAACACTAACTCTATTTTATTTGGCCTTGGCTTACGTAGAGTTGCGGTAGAGGAGAGCGTCCTTAACAATGGCGGTGGTATTAAAGCGAGGTCTTTAGAAATGAATCAGAATCTATTTTAGGATACGACCTTCCGTTTATCCATATGTATTAAAAGAAGTTTGGAACCCTTAGAGAAATCTTTAATCACGAAGAAAATGCAATTTAATCACTGAAATGTGAAGGATCAACGCCAACTTCGCACTAGCTAGTTCTGAGTTAAAATTGATTAGAGGATGAGCGGCATCTCTAGACGCCGCATTCATGAAAGACAACACAGAGTTTTAAACAAAACCTCCCCTCTTTCCAGTTTTGACTTATGAATAGAGAAAACTAAGAGCGACCTAAGCAACACTACCGTTAAAATTAATTCTACCGAAAGTGTAATTATAGAGAAGTGGTTGATCTCGCAGTGTAAACTGAAGCTAATCTATTCCAAACTAAATAGATCACAACAAGCCTTGACCACAAAAACGGTGTTACAAAGAGACGGACATGAAGCAGTTATGGGAAAGAGTAAGTCTAATATGTAGTGCAATTAATTCCTCAACACTACTGGTAAGAAGCAAAGGATAGCCTATACGAATAGGCAGCTAGCAATCAGTTCACATACATGAAGTCCCACAATACTGCGGGGGGAGGTGGAGGAAAGGAGAGGACCGGAGGGATGTTCGATGAAGGAGAACAGACGACTATCCATAAGGGCACACCAAACCTCAGCCGCGATGGCGGGGGCGTGCGACAGTGATGAAAGGAGGTATAGCAAGTCCGCTTTCATTGACATTGGAAGAGGACAAGTAATAAGGCCGATAGCGGTGGAGATGAGGCGCCACTTTGTGTTTGATGCAAAAGAGGAACGTGCTATTGGATCCTGCAGTGGAAAATAGGAAAAAAAACCCGTTTACATAAGATAGACTTAAATAATGGACCTAGACTAGCTATCCACAAAGCTGAAGCTTCAATTTCTACTTATCTTTGGTACGAAAAAGTAAACTGCAAATCATTTTTGCTTGGCAAAGCTCAGAACTGAAGCGAAAACAGACAAATTTACCTTTGAGTAAGCAAAAACCTCATGATCTGAATGAATAACTCACACCATTTCATAGTTATCAAAGAAACCTCAAAGACGGCTTTGAAGAATATGGATACAAGACATAAGCATCAAAAATGAAGACATCTTGAGTAACAAACTAAATATTTTAATGCCGTCACACTTCTGCTAAAAGTATGACAAAAATACACAGATTGGGAAGGAAGTACACCAAAAAATGAAAAAAAACTGACATTTTGTGAGCAGAGGTTCGTGCGGTCTATGCTATGGAAGGGCTTTTAACTTGTAGGGACATGTAAAGCGCCTGCAAACTTTTACATGTGCCCATTACAAATCATACATGTATCAGTAAAATATCTTTTATGCTAAAAACTGAGGTGAATGAACCTGGTCTGCCCTGCGAAATAAATTTAACTCGGTTACATGACTGCAGAAGCTAGCTTCTCATCAACTTTGTTGTATAACACTGAGAGAATGTAAGACAGCAGGAAGCGCTGTCTTGAACTAGTGATTCTGGTGATGAATTAGTCAAAAGCAGAAGTATCACATGCAAGAGAGTCCCTATTTTGGGTAATGAAGAGTTATACGCCGTTATTGGATAAGATGAATCGAGATTAACGCGCTAAGAAATCTTGACAATGTTTGACGTGGATGTTGAAAGCATTTGCTGGCACTCACACCAACAGGAAAAGCCACAGAAGCCATTTGACAAACGTGCCAAATCAAATGAAATGCCACTCTTACCATGCGTATTATAAAAATGCGCTGTTTTCCAAGTTGCAATGAAAAACGGCTTTTATTCCAGCATTAAGTGACCGAGTTATCACCAATTAGTCCACGCAATGTCTCACATTTCGAAGGCATCACTTTGTTTTCGAAAGACACTTAAGCTTGCCACTTCGAGATATGGGACACTAACACAAGCGCAATTTGCAGCAAACTTCATTTTGTTCATAAAGGATTATAAATTAAAGTGGCGATTATTTCAACATTTACCTTATGATTCATATCATGTCATATTATAAAGACTTTGTAGTTTACAGCTGATGTCAACTGTTCATTTCATTGTGAAAAGCGGAAGAGATACGACGTTCAGGCACAAATCGTCAGCACAGAAGTGTACTGAGCAAAGCCCTAAACGCCACCCCGCAGATTCAGAACAACACAGGATCTCGGATACGCTTTGTCTCTCAAAGAGAACCTGACCAACAACCAATGGCTACACGGTCCACAAAGATGGGGGCTCAATCAACGAAGCAACGAAATCTATTGCCACTGAAACGAAAGCTGCTAAAATTGTTGATAAGACATACGAGGATAAAGAAAGTGGAAAATAGGGACATAGATTAATAAATCTCGAAAAAAATCCAACGCTAGCATTTTAAGCTGCATTATCCAAGCTGATCGCTTTCTCAGAATGAACTAACTTCACTTATACTATAAAAAATTGCATTTTTAAAAAAAAGAATTCAGTATTCCAGAAAGTCGAGATAGAAGAGGAAGATATTGGCAATGATGTTAAAAGAATTCAATATCATGTCAAAAGATGAGTGACTTTAATAGGCCGTCTGTAAGGCATACCAAAGGGTGTTGAGTGACGCTTCTAGCATAAATCTGATGAAGTCTAAAATACAAAGCTAAGGAAAGTAGACATACCATGATACAGACACGTGTGATGAGAGCCACTACAATGCGTAGAGCTTCTACTTCCTCCGGTTGGATCTCGAGGGGTACCAAAGCAGACTGCAGTTGCTGCTCCTGCTGTTGTTGCACGAAATGAGAATCGCCCGCTGCTACCATCGAGGCAGCCGTAGATTGGTGGTAGAGGTGAGGGTGTTGCAGATGCAGCGGTTGGCCTCCCATCCCCACACCCGATGTAATGGTTGTGGCGCGCTTCAGGTGCTCTAGATATTGTTGTAGGCTCGAGATGAAGTGGTCCCAGGTAAGCAGTGAGGCCAATCGACCTGTGGGCGCAAGGAGCCTCGATTAGAGCTGAAGGCTGCAGCTTCCGGCCAGCCAGATTTTAAGATACATATTATCCAGACTCAGCATGCGTTTCGTTTCAGTCGTTATTCTTACTTTTGTGTAAATGCTCTCCCGAAAAACGACTGGAATGTGCCAACAGTAAAACAAAATGCCTCAATGAACTTCTCAAGTGCGATATGCTATCGAAAGCCATGTTCGATGATCACCACAGAAATCCACGATATGCACAATTACCGTCCGACTCAGTTCTTCCGATTTGATGGAACATCATTGCACGATATTCCACCTCGGATTGTGATTAATCCAATTTCACTTGAGGGTAGCCGACACATGGGTGAACGTAGCTTCCACTGTGTTTGATTTCCCGGAATTCTAAATCTTTGTCCAGACCGACAATTCATTTTTCAACAAAAATTATTCGAAAGATATGATTGCAACCAGATTCCGACCGTAGGTACATGGCAAAGTATGATTAACGTTGACTAGTGTCCAGCTATAGTGAAGCATACCGCATGAGAAGACAGTAGACAAAGGGAACGGAAACACGATTAAATATTGTTCTTATGCAACCATAAGAGATTCTAAGTTTCAGATGACCACAGAAAATCATAGGCATACCTCCGGAGGAAGCGGTAGCTTTGAGTAGATTAAAGCAGAGATTAGCCGAAGTTTGGCAGCCAACCAGAGAGCGTAGCATTCGCACGTAAGGCACAAATATGACCGGGGAGGAGGCGAACTCGCTACTGGAGTAGACGAAACGGAACAATATGGCCTGGACGGAGAAAAGCTTATCAATTTAATTCACTCGATTAGAGGGAGTACAAAGTGTGCTCAATCCTGATGTAAGGAACCAACCTGTCGCGAGTTTTCCACCTCTCCAGCACGGAAGGAGGCGTTGATGGTGTCAGAGACCTGCGCAGATGGTAGATGCGTCTCGCCCGCTGGCCACCAGTACTCCAGCGAGAGACGTGCATGCAAAGACGACCCTGGCACGTTGTAAAGACAGGCGATGGTATCAAGCAATACCGCAAAACTGCCTGGATCCACACCCATTCGACGCACCATCGACTCGTCCCAAAGTCGCATTTCGCGTGTAATTTGGGGAAATTGGATTAGCAATTCCGTTAGGAGACCATGCACTCGACAGACCCAAAGATACTGCAGGCAGAAAAATACCGTACACATATTATGCATTAAAAACACGGTAAAAAGGGAATAGGGGAAATGGTTACCTCATGCGAAAAATACAGTTCCGAGAGTATACCAGTTGAGAGAAATTCCAGGGCTCGGGATCTGAGCGCTGAGGTGACTAATTCGTCCTCATCGACAACGTCTCCGTAGTCGAGAGTGTTGCCGTCTTCCCGCCGACGACGCAGGTCTGTTCTAAGGTGTGCGGTTCGATGCAAGGCTATAGCCCATGAGATCTGCAAAAGACCATGCAGTCCCTCAATCACAAGTGAAGTTTTTTTTTGATTGGCTTCGCCGGGCAGAGTGAGTAGCTCCGTCACAGAGGCTACATAACCAGCCTCTGAGAAAAGGGGATGCTGCAAGTCTAAAGGAGACATGAATCTGTGGCTAGAAACCAAAAGAGAAGCAATGTCTTTCCAATAATTATGGTGCCAACCCTGTTCATCCGCATCTGCATATTGTTCAACAGTAACTCCAGAAGCACCAAAAGGTTCCAAGGAGAAGAGGAGGGCCATGAAGAGGTGAATGCTGCCATGGTCAAGAGGTAGTGAGACATCATCCTCAAGATCAACACCAACTTCAAAGCTTGATTTGGAACCGATGAGGTGAGCGAGTACCTGAGCCATTTCGGAAGAGGAGAGGGGTGTTTGCGCGGCCCACAGCATGACAGTCTCAGCAAGACGGTTTCGGATCCCTGTGAGAAGACGTCGAATATCTCGACGGTGTTGACGACTATCGAGCACACGAGCTGTCTCAAGACGCTTGAGTTCACTTTCAACATTGAATTTACTCAGAAAAGCTGGGAGGAAGAGTAGTAATCCGGGTAAACTTAGTGAGAATTTATGAATATAGATATGTGCCTGCAGAAGTACCTAAGTACCGAACTTGAAATTTAGAAATGAAGGTGAAACAAAAAAAATAATGTATACCACATGCTATAAGTAGGAGGTAACTTGAAAGATATATCAAAAGAAAAGAAATTGTTTCAACTATTTTAAACGGCCTGAAGTATGCTGCAAAACAAGACTTACTAAGGAGATTTTCTAGAAGTCCAGTTTGCCATAGATCCTCGGTAAAGGAGCTAATAATGTTTTCGACATCCCGAGAAGGTGGATTGCTCATGGGTATACGTCCAATACGGCGTTTGATGATCGCATTAAGTGATTCTGCGAGAGCACAATAAGCATCAAAGTATAATGTGATTGCCAGGGCTGCACGACTCAGACCACTTGAGTGGGAAGACAGGTGGCCTTCAGCAGTTAGCAGAAGTTCCAGGGCAGTGATCTCATTTACATCAAAGAGATCACTCAGGCAACAAGTTTCTTCAATGAGATCTTGCGTAAGGATAATACGCTGGGATAGACCAGGGATGGCAATTGCTTCCACATCAGCCTTCTTGACGGATTGTCGGTCTTCGACCGATTTTCCCTAAAACATCACAAGGATGAACAACTAGTAAAAAACTAATTTTGTTATTTTGATATTACACATGTCCGCTTGATGCCACTAATATTTACCGGTTTATGCATTGGCAAAAGCAATGGTGTCCTATGGCGCCTTAGGGAGGTCTCAAATTCCATTAGCTGATCAATTCTACCGTTAAACAAAACATTTGTAATAATGTTTTGAAGCGTTTTGTATGCAGACCACATATTGAGAGCTCTCGCAAATTAGGAATAATTAACGCTGTCACCCAGCGAAGGCTAACAGGACACTTGCATGGAAATTTAAAAACCTTCTTCAAGGTCAACGGTGTTTAAAATTTGCAGTCTGTGAAAGATGACGAGTACGAAATCACCCTGCCTTTCTAAAAAAAACTATAACTTTTTACTAAAACCAAACAGTAGAATGCCATAATTTTTTACACAACAGCTATTTTCCATTCTCGACGCTCACAAAATTGCACAAGTCAAACCCGCAGTTTAGATAAGAACAAACCATCATCTGAAACTAAACGTTTACTCATCAGCTACAAAAATCAATTAGATTTATTGTATTTAGTTTGACCAGAATACTTCATCCCGTCATCATGCAGTCGTCAAGAATCACCAACTTCGACGAATCCAGGGGTTTTGGACAACACTGTCCTCACCTGATCGGAGCAGCAACAGAAATCCATTTTCAGTTGTTATAGCTTTGTATGTATTGTTCCATGCCAAATACTATATTGCACAATGTTGTATGCCGTCAACGGCACATATAATACATTTAGTCAGCGATTATACCGAGGATTTGACGTGGGTGGTGGGTGAGGACATATCCCACGACTGGGAGAAAACTACACTCACAGCTCCGTACTTCTGTAACATCAATAAGACCCTTTTCACACTAAAGTCGGACACAATTCTGTTCACTTTAGAGCAAACAGAACAACCTTCCCCCCAACTTAACAATAAAACGAAGTCTCTCACAAAACGGCCCTCTACTCGGGTGTTGTGAGTACCCCAAAACCAAGACCACCTCACGCACCAGAACACCAGAAATCCTAATCAATCACTTTAGAAGTTGTTACTAAACCCCCAGAGCTGGTACGGCTAGTCCTCTGAGTGTTAGAGAATGTCCACCAAAACCCTAACATGGAATAATGAGTAGACCTCCAGAAGTTGACCACCCACTCCAAACCTGCTAGGGCATAAGGTTCCTGCAAAAGCAGTAGTGCCCCTCAACCTCAGCCACGACCCTTTATCACACACTCGAGTAAAAATGGTAGCTGCATACTGAAAGTAACCTGGTCGCGTGCACTTCATGTGTCTCCCCACTCAAAGACAAGCAGCTTATTAGAATACTGTATGGATGGGTCAGCTACCTCCCGTCAAAGTCGGCCTTGAGGACAGTTATTCCGCTGCGCCAGTTACTCTTCCACTTTACCTCCCAACTTCCCACAAGTGGATGGTAGCAATCATCGCAAATCCGGGAAAAAAGGTGAAGCATACCCACACACATAAACAATCAAAAGACAAAGAAGACAATGGCATGTTTTCTCATAGAAAACCAAAGAATACGAATACTACAACTTCATCTAATATTCAGCTACCACTGCCTCCCCTACTCCTTGAAGTTCGCGTTTTCCGGGGGGACGTGTGTCTTGAAGGATTTCACACAGCGTGACATGGTCTGGGAATTTCGGCTGATGGCGTCGGTCATGAAGTACTGGTACAGCTCCTTCATCGATACACTCAAAGGTGATTTTTTATCAAGATTTTTTGATTCCTTTTGGTATTCGACCTAAAACAACGCCAATACCATTGAAGGAGATTTGGAACTCGCAGACACAAAGATAGTACAGTAAAGTTACTTTAACGTTATACTTGACTAGGCAGACCTTTACAGCCTCTTGCAAGGTGGTCACTACGTTGCCGACATTACGTTGACTGATCAACTTAGCCTTCCTCTACTCTTGAGTTAACCCGGAGTGCTAAATCGGTGGCAGCGTCGACGAAATCTACACCAAAATGCCACAGAGGAACGATATTGGTTGTGGATGACCAACAGCAGTAGAGCTATGGACACGGTGGAGAATTTCGGCAACTGTCCTTGCTTCCAGTCCTGTAATGAAGCAGGACCAGGTTTCAACGAATCAAATCGCTGAGTCAATGGTATAAACAGTGATCATATTCCGAAGATATGATACCTTGCTTCTGATGGAAACGTCCGTAACCCCAGAAAGGCTTAACATTTCGATTTTCAAGAGGTTTCCATTCCCGCAGTTAGTTCTCTCTAGAAAAAGTGCTAACAATCATTTCAAGTCTAAGGTCAGTTCTGACCGTCGGCTAGTAACGACTGTCCCTCCCTGTGCTGACACCATACGTTGACGAAACAGGCGAGCTTCAGAAAAAAAACCTAGAGCATAACATCCTCACACTTCCTTTTTGGACGAATATTTACGAGTGCATACGCTATAAAAAAATCCTCCAGGTTTTTGCACCCCCTTCCAAATTAATTCGTCCTCAGTGCGCCCTACCTAACAAACAATGTGGTGCTTAGAAATTCCATAGAAGTTCACTATGCATGCCGCCACTAATGGGACGGAAAGCACTCATTTTTTGATCTCCATTCCTGTCTTGCGATGAATGGCAACCCACTGAAGAACTTAAGACCGCGGAACCAAAAGTGGTGTCCTAGGGGAACCGCAGGAACGGTGCACCCAAAAATACAATTGTATTTTGATTGTACACGTAACTACGTAAGCCTTTTGGGTCGCACGATTCAATCTCCAAACCGTATTATTTGTTGGATTTTTACGTTTTTAAAATATCTTTATGGATGACTCGAACGCTCCATCGAGGGCAAGGCTAGCAAATACACTCTAAAAGGACAACAAAAGTCCGTTTCTACCGGTCGAATACGACTCCAAGACATCATAGAAGGAAGCCCTGATATGGATGACCGATCCAAAATCAAAGAGCTAACAAAATGGCACCGAATTTCCACGAGAAAAGGTTGGAACGAATTAAGCGTCCGCAAGTGAATCATAATATTTGCACAAAAGCATTGGACTACGACTGTCATCTGAAGAATAGCCAATTTTGACATGCAGCCGGACAGCATCTGAATAACAAAGCGGAAAGTGGAGGAGGAGAGAGCAGAAACTCACCTTGGCATCAGCAGCAGTGACCTTGAGGCATGCCGGATCGGCACTCTGGACAGCGTCGATCTCGAGCAGACCAGGTGCTATTTGACGCATGCGTTGACGCACTTCCTCAAGATCATCATAAGGTAGAGGGCACCCAGCGACCTCAGATATGGCACGAAGGATGGCCCAGTCTTGGCGTGCTTCGCCTGGCGGTGCCACGGCGGGGTAGGTACGCTGGGCCCTACCCTCCAGGTTAGCGTAAGTTGCGTGCTTCTCCGTATAGGCGGCACCGGGCAACACAATGTCCGCCATCTTCGCCCCGTGGTCGCCGTTGTGGCCTGGAGTTGCAAAAAAGGAGAAAAAAAATAGATGAATTGCAGGTGTACTACTTGTGTCGACTAAATTTATTTAGTCAGATTCTACTCGTGTACATGCATACGAGAAAGTGTGCGTACGTGTAACCCCACACTTGCAAATGAATAACAAAATTGAAGCATTTGTCAGCGTATAGGCAAGGTGCGAGAGTATTTGCCTCCAGAACACAAAAGAAAACGTGTACGAAAAATAATCACCAATGAAATAACTACCACTCGCACTCCCATTAGTGTCCGTTCGCATATCTATAAATGGCTATCAGTACCATTTTTGAGCTGTACAAAGTGGAAATTTTGCCAGCTCTTTGGCTACTACCCCTTACTGCGGTATTGGGTCAGAGTTAATAAACACGAAGCACAAATAATATTGCTTTCGCCATATGCCAAAACCTCATAAAACAATAAACTTATTCGTTATCAAACGGGGTCCCTTAAAAACATGACAAAAATAATATTAAGATGACCAACAAATTCGCTTTTAATCACTTGGGTAATAGTTGAAAGGTTAGATTACCGAATGGTTAATAACTAAATCTTCCACCTGTGACTTTCTTCCCCGAGGTCATCAAGTGCACATCGCTTAAAACAACCAAAATATCGAGTTATCACAAATAAAATCCATCCTAGAAATACTACTCTAATTGTCAGAGAGGACGAAGAAGTTAGGGGGAACGCAAATGAAATGGCCGCTATAATCCCCCCTAAAAATACAGAAACCACACGCATTAGAACGGAATTATTCATTAAAACCCGTTTTGATACATTCGAACCCAATTATCCATCTGGTCAAATTGCAATTACACAAAGACGGAGACGAACAATGACATGCAAACATGGAACAAGAAGCAACCATATCAACCAACTTAGAGGATACAAATGAATGATTCTGAGAAAATGAAACTATTCGAGAGACGTGCGTTTCAGCTAAAGAGTTGATTAAAAAAAAATGTTTTCCAGATTGAAATGATAAAGTTGTGTCACATTTTCAAAGGGTAATTTGGGACTACCTCTCAAAAGAACGAAGGGGAGAGGAGAAACTGCCAGTCGGTACTACTAAGAGAAAAATAATAACTTTCCTATTAAAACTACAAGTGCCAACAACTCGATTTTACATGAGCACAGTTGAAACGAATGACACTAAAAATACATCGTTGGCAGAAATAGATAAAACCAACATGCGCGAGTCATTCAACCAAAGAATGTTGATTCGAAAAGAAAAATATATGCAAAAAAATAAATTGAAAATTTCAAAAAGAGATTTCACTTGGTCCGAGTGGAAGGAGAAGGGAGTAGGGACAAAGAAACAACATCGTTGCCGTCTGACGTGTTTTCAGTCCTGGTGATCAATTTCCCACACTGGGTATGAGCATTGTAAACAAATGAAGTCATTTTAAGGAGTCCTACGACGGCCTATATGGCAGCAAAAGAGGAAGGCAATCATTCCAGAAATGTAAATTTAAAGGAAAAGGGTGGATGGGATACACCAAAGTAGTTAATTTAAGCCACTTGATATTGTATAAAACCGGTATTACATAAGAATATTATGAGAGCCGCCATGATGAAACAAAACGAACCAATGTAGATGATCATGCACTCCTCCGGCAAATGGGCACGTGTCAATTGACCCTGGTCAGCGCCCAACAAGATGGCCACCTTGGGCTGAGCGGTTCGGAGAGCATCGAGCCCAGGAGTGTAACCAAGGTCCATAGCGGCCACCTGGCTAGCGTAGCGCTGCAGCACGTTAAAACGTCGCGCACCTTCCTCCGCCGAGGGCGCAAAGTGGCAGGCTAACTGCTGCACCGCCGCATGCAACGCCGCACCGTCCGCGCGCTGAAGGGCTTCACTGCCCACCACTACCAGAGGATTCTTCACCGCCGCAAGACGCTAGAGGCATGCACAACAAAGGGTTACACTACGTTATGTGGACACGGTGCATGAGCCAAAGCAGTGTTGCTACCACTGATGAACTTACTAATACCACTACCAATAGGCCTAAAGTATTACCGATACCAATGTCGATGCGGTACATGAGCGGTGCATTTCTATTTAACAGTTGTACTTCGACACCGAGAGATATCAAGAGATGTAGTACTATCCAAGTAACCACGTGAAAACAGCAAAACGGCGTTGGTTTTATGATATTTAGACCACGTTATTTGACAATACTAAGAATGCTCGGGATTTCAAATTAAATTGACTTTCTGGACGCAATTCAGTGCAGATGCACCTGAAGCGGGACTGATTTTACCGGCATTGGTACTAAACGAACATTAAAGATATCCCAGGACAAAAAGAGAAACGTAAAATCACGATGCTGCAAAGATCAGAACTACTACAAATAATTTAAGGGTAAATACTGCCGCTGCTATTGCCATTTCTGTCAACGAACGAAATGATTTCGAGCCCAGCCGTATGCAAAGGACATTCGAGATATAAAAGGAGAAAATAGCAGTCTATTCGAAATTAAAAATTTGAAGATACGATTTCAGTTTCGCAAGGCTTGTGCTGCAATGTTTGAGTCCACTGATCCAGAGTAGTTAACTAAACCAGCTTTCCGGCAATAGTGACATCTAGTTAAATCCAGTTGATCGGTGCTATTTACCTAGTGTTAACTCGATTTTGCAAAGAAAGGAAGATATAAACATGGAAAAACGACAACTACATTAAGGTTTTGCTTTCTGCTTACGAAGTCTATTGACTGTGAACGTGTAATTGATGTGAACTAAAAACCGACCAAGAGGGTAATAAAAGAAGACATTTAAAGTGCTGAATACCTATGTAATGCAAAGATAAGTGACAATACCTTAGCGAAAGGGTGCTTTCCTGAAATGATTTCGGGAATGACCGAGGTCGACGATCCAAGATGCTAAAATGAAAGATGCATAGGTAGTGCATTAATCAAGCGAGACGTTATTTGGAATAGCAAAAAAGTAATGTTTGAAACCTAATCAAAAGTACAGTGTTATCCCATCAGTATAATTTCCAGTAGATAAAAGAACGTAAAGGTAAGCACGGGCAATAAACACTACCAAAATCGGATTTGCGCAACAAAACGATTACGCTGAAAAGATGACTTGATCGATGCTTTTGAAGTGCAAAAAATTACATAACGAGAAAACCAAGAATGACAGTTTCAAAAAAGCCTTTGCGGAAGACATATTTGAGGGCTTATGACAATACCATAACGGTAAAAGTTGAAATGAAATAACGTCAAAACTGTCAAATCAGAACTCACCTCGTAGTCGTAGGTGAGATCAACCTTTTCACCAATCAATGCCACATCCAATTCATTATTGAGCCAGTTCTTGCGTACACGTGCGTTAATCAATGGTGCTTCAAATCGCGGATTGGTGCCGATAAATAGGATCAAATCAGCCTCATCTATGCCAACAATCCTTGAATTGAACAGGTAGTTAGCACGCACATCGATTCTGCAGGCAAAGAAAGTGATCGGAATCAAGGCTTAATTAACACAGGCGAAAAAAGGTAAATAAGTGACAAACCTATTCGGGGGGAAGTTCTCTTCAGTAAGGACCAATTCAGAGTTCACAGCGTTTGCGAGGTCTTTGGCAGCAGTCATAGTCTCAGCATCAGTAAAAGGACCAGCGATTACAGCAATCTGGTTGGGTGGACACTTGGCAGGTTCAACCGATCCCAAAGAGACGAAATGCTCACCAATGGCAATCAAAACCCCTTCCCAAGAGGATCGTTGATGTACTTCACCACCTTTAGGTCGCATCAAGGGAACCACAAGTCGCTGACGTTTGAGACCATCACAAGCACAACGTGACTTGTCGGCCAACCACTCCTCATTCACGTCCTCATTCAATCGGGGTAGAATACGTAGCACCTCATTGGTCCGCATTGAGATGACGATGTTTGAACCTACTGCGTCCATCACATCGATGGACTCGATGCGTCTTGTCTCCCAAGGACGCGCAACAAAGGAGTAGGGTTTGGAAAGAAGGGCCCCCACAGGGCAGAGATCAACAACATTGCCCGAAAGTTCACTTTCAATCATTCGATTAACGTAGGTGCTGATTTGCATGCTGTTGCCTCGACCTGAGGTACCAAGGTCTGGCACTCCAGCCACCTCGTTGACAAATCGGACGCAACGGGTACAGTGGATACAACGAGTCATGCAGGTCTTGATGAGAGGGCCCATGTTGAAGTCCTCCACGGCTCGCTTACCTGAGAACGAGTTGTCGATAAAGCGAGAGCGGTCGGATCCGAAGACCATAGCCTGGTCCTGGAGGTCACACTCGCCACCTTGATCGCAAATAGGACAATCCAGAGGATGATTGACCAGCAGAAACTCCATAACACCCTCTCTGGCTTTTCGTGTCATCTCAGAGTCGGTCTTTATGCGCATACCCTTCCAGACTGGCATGGCGCAGCTAGCTACAGGTTTAACAGAGTTCTCGACTTCTACAAGACACATTCTGCAACTACCCGCGATCGAAAGTCTTTCGTGATAACAAAACCTGAAAAAGAGTTGGACCGTTTAAGTAATGGGCTGAGAAAACCTTGGAGGAGATACATTGAATTAACCTACCGCGGAATCTCAACACCCACTAAACTGCATGCCTGCAAGACGGTCATACCGGGTTCACAAAGGACAGATTTTCCATCGACAAAAACCTCGATCCTGTTATCGTCTAGTTTAAGTGGAGGAGTATTCGACTTAGCAGCAGCGCTTGCTGTGGCTGGGGCAGCAGAACGCAGGCCCTGGACAAGGTGAATTGACTTCCAATTTACTGCGGGTATAGCGACAAGAATGAAGTCAAATCAGCATCACATAATGCCAGAGATTAAAGTGAAATTTAAATGGCAGTAAAAAAACTATTTCGACGCTAAGTCACCGACGCACAAAAAAGTACGAAGTTCGTTTATTAATGAATAAAAACAAAGGTAGCTAAGGTTAAACCTAAAAAAATGGACCAGTTACGACAAACCACCGACCAATTCCAACATTGCCATAAAGAGTTATGTAGCTATGGAAGCCTACTTTTAGCTAATTTGTTAAAGGGTGCTGCCCTGCAAACGGAGACACAAAGCATCCTCAACAATCCACAAAGTATCGAACAAGGCGCCCACGATGCAGAAATAGTCCAACGGAACGATAAGTCGAATGCACAGAGTGGATGAAAGTGAATAAGCGTCTTAACTTCTGCTATAAAAACCATATAACTTGCATTTTTACAAGCTTTTCACTAAGTATTAAACCCAACTGCATATCTAAGTTTGAGACCGACCAAGATTCCCTTCTTGCAAACATAAGCCATTTGCCAATAAAAAGGATTAGGAAGCTGCGTCAAAGCTTATACTATGGATATTTGTAGTAAGAAGTTAATTTTGCACGTGCTCACCATTCAAACGAAAATAAACTTCGGGCCATTGGTATTATGGTAAGGGCCTTTTGTGGGTAATTTACAGCATACTTAAGATTACTGTGATACGACGATGGTTTTTCTTTCAATATTAATAAGGCACTACTTTTGTGCTTTTGAATTTGCCTTCTTGTACCTCGATGGGTGGGCTGGCCTTTGGGCCATGCCAGTAGCTCAAACAACTTCTCTGTGCTGAATGTATAGTCTGTCTGAGTATTGTGCCTTCTTTTGTCTTTAGAGAAGTCCCGAGATGCTATAGTACTGTATCTGACATTCGGTTTCTGATAGAGGACAGTACTGGCAGAATTATACGGTGTGTTAGGCTGGCAATACTGCACAAATTAGTTTTCCGATAAACTTACGTTTTTAGACCCATGGTTAGATCAAAATGCGATTCTTGTTTTTTTCTAGCAATTGTTCTCTGCATTTTTTAGGATGGAGAGTTACACCTAATATGAATGTATGCTGACTAGGTATCCAGCAAATGGTTGCTCAGCTGCCAAACAATCCAACCACCGTGATTGATAAAGCACCCTAAAGCCAAAATAATGAATATATTTTATTCTTAGGATAACAAAATTAGCTTAAAATCGAATTTGCTTTATTTTTATCCCCTAGTTATTCCTAAGACCTATGCATAGAGCCTATTTTCTTTGCTAATGAAATGCAAACTAATAAATATAGAAGATTTTAGACGCACAAATGTCCATGGGTTTAGGTATTTTAATGCCTTTATCACACACAACCAGAAGGCTTTTAACTCACTCATAACTCACCTGCATTCCTCGAAATTTACTCACTGACTAATGCTGTCTCCCTCCGGTGCCTCGACCTCTGTTTCTAGCCGAAGCTCTGCACTGCCAATTTCAATCGGTGATGACGATGCATTCTTCAGGAAGCACGTAAATGTTCCAGCTTCTTGCAAAATTAAAGTTGTTGTCGCCGAATACCATAATGAGGTATTCTTTTTTCATTATTAATACTCTTAGGCACTTACGTTTATTCATCGTTCCATAGGAGCCAAAAGAATTCCACTTGATGGTCTTAAGTTGCTTCATGTCGATTCGCACCCAGATTTGTGCATTCCCAATGTACCTTCGTCTGAAATCATTTCTCAACCCTATGAAATGCTGAAGTTTGTGTCTCTTGACTTTACCAAAGTGCTAGGCACATTGATATCGAAAATTGGATTTTTCCCGCAATTTTCGCAAAATATATCAATCATGTCATTTGGCTGCACCCTCCATGGTCAAATCAGTTAACTAACCGTCATCCTACTCAGTATTTTATTGGCCAATGCAAGTCGTCAGAGAATTTGGCGTGAGTGCCTTAGTCTTACATGCACTTGTCCCTTCTCGTTGCTGCTTGGTTTTTGGTTGTTTTTGAAAGTCTTGGAACTTGAAGTAGTAAAGCAAATCACGAGACTATCTTTTCCTGTAATCACGTCTGGATTTTTCACTACTACTTTAGTAACTCATTAATTAACCATCGAGATATTTGGCATCATTGATGAATGCCGCACTTTGTGTATTTTTAGTGTGAACATCCCGGAGCCCTACTTCTATAACGAGGGCATCTATGCCCATCGTAGTGATATGAAATCGTTAGTCCCATTTACTCTTACAGTAAGTACCATACATGAGTCGAACACAATGTGCAGTGCTTGCACGGACATCACCAGTGAGTTGATCAATGAGGCCTTTATTTTGGATGTCGATCTGGATGCATTTTCTACCCAAGATCCGTTTCGGGAATTTTACAGTGCCGAACAGGTAATGGTACTTTCTCATTTGTTCAAGTGTATTTGGCGCAATAAATTTGCAGTCAATGAAATGAGACGCGCTGTAGTGGTCTTGTGTGTTTAGTGTTTGAAACTGATTGCTGATCGATTACGGGGATTACATAATAATAAGTTTTGGTTCTGTCAAAACCGAAATCTATTTTGCTGGTCTGTCCTCAGAAGGAAATGCGAGGTTGTATTGCTTCAGTTCGTTAGAGGTCATTTGTGGTGTTCTTACTTGTTAAATAATTTTGAAGCACTTATTCATATATATGTCTATTATGATGTATGGCCCTATTGGCTTTGAATTTTCTGATATTAATGGTTTTTTTGTCGCATGAACGATAAAATGAAATAAACGTAAAGCGGGCTATTCATAAGCGGACCTCTTTCAAAAATTTTATATGCTCAAGGTCTCTGGGGATTATTTTTTCGTGAGCCCGACTGGAAACGGGATTCAGGGCCTGAGTTTTGCAACCATCAGTATATTAATCGTGCTTCATCCTCACCGTTTCTTCACGTTTTTTGCTAGTAAATAACATATGCTTTGTGACAAGAAATAGTTATTTGGGTTAATGCAATATGTTAGCAAAGATCACTTTGATAGAAAAGGTAATTTTGACATAAGGCAGCCCATAACTTGACAAAAAAGTTTTGTCATTTTGAACCTTATTTTCTCAACATTGAAGCCACAACTATTCATTCAAATTTGGAAGTATCGTTATCACCAAAGTGTCGAGGAACTGAACTCTCAGTACCTTAGGGAACCTAAGTATAGCACATGTCACCAGCGTCTTGGTTTAATCGTGGAAACTATGAAGTTTCTTAGAGCCAGTCTTGAGTAAAAAATCCGAATAGAGGAACATTTTTAACCAGTGGAAGGTCAACTCTAAGCGCACATAAAGCCTATTCTGTCTAAGCAGAATCCGCGCCCTCAGCACAATCAAGAATATGGTCAAGGTATGCATCGTTGAGAAATTACGGAATGTATGGAAGATATTGTGAACGCGAAAAATGCACAATATATTTCCATATATCGTCCATGAAAAAGCAACAAATCACTACCAAAGTACGGAGAAACTAGAAATGCAGCAGCTCTGGCGGTCTAAAGGGAGCTCACATTCATGCGTAAACGAGACCTCCTAAACTGTAAAGGAGTGCTTAGTTGACACTTGTAGGGATACCTTGTTTCTCTTCCTCAGTTCGCACTGATCGACAAGCTCTTCACGGCCCCTCGTCCTCCGCCACTGGGTCTGCATCCAGGTACCCGCGAGGTGGATGCGGCAACTGCAACGTCGGTGGAGGCGAAGGTCGTGTTCGAGAGTGCTAGTCTTGCCGCGAAGGTGGTTTGCGATGAGCACAAGGCCCATCTCTCCTCCCTGTGGCGCTGGATGCGCACCCTGGCCACCGGCGCGCCGGCTGTGGACGAAGAAAGGGTGCCATCGGTTTGCGATCCTCACGAGTTGCTTGCCCTTGCCACCCTTCTCCTCTCTCTTGCACCGGATACCTTCTCACCCCGTGTCCACGCCGCCATCCAGACCACCCACGCTACTGCTCTTCGTTTGGTCCAACAACATTCCGATACCACCTCGATGCCTCGCCTCGGGATAAACGACGGTGCGTCTCTATTGCACCAGCACCCCCCTAGATATCTCTAGAAAAGTCATGAAGGTATGTAAGGCTAGGTAGACTTTTTGCATTAGCACTAATGTGGAGGCTGATATATGGGCGACTGGGAGGATCCACTTAGGTGAGCATAAAATCAAACCATCATTCTCTCTCCTTTTGTGTATCTCTTCTGGCATTTCCATGGTCACTGTTCTACTTCTGGGATGAATACCTATTAACCGAGGACGATAGTTCCAATTGTAAGCGACTTTGTAGGAATTTATTTTTCATGAATTTAAGCCGGAACGTTTTTGGCTGCAAACCTCTCTCGTGTATCAAAAGCTTTTCTAAAGGCCACTTGTCGAAAAGCTAAATCAGTTGATAAGTAAATATGAATTACCATCACTGAGCTATGTTCTTTATTAGTTTCTCTTCAGTCTGTTGTCAATTTAGTACTGACCAACGACCTGTTTTGATTATTAAGTTCTCGGATAACTCATATTTCAGAATTTATGTGAATATTACACATAGTGTTGGATGCACACACACAAGTCTGTAATGCAGCATTTTGACAAAGCAGTAAAAGTTATTGTTTCACTTGAAGGCAATGTTTTGTTCCATCAGGTGCTCAACGATGTCTATAGCGCTCACACTATCTCTGGAAACGTTGCATTTTTAGTTTTATTATTAACGCACAAAAGGATTAGGTTATTGTCAGCTTAAATAATATGGGCGTGATGCCGTTACAGAAGTATTGGGACTGAATTACGATCTGTTTTTATTACTTAGTAGAATGTGGAATCTGAGAGGGGAGTGGTTTTCAAAATTTGGTGCAGTTTAGCCAATTCTCCTGCTGAATCTCATCAGATCCGTGCATCCGCAACAAGTGCTTTCCTATGGCGTTTCCTCCCAGTACCCAGCCGGCAAAGTTGGGGTTTCGTTTTTGTTGAGTGTGTATCTGTTTACGCTGACACTAGGATGACACCAAAGTTAATCCTCAAAATTCTGTAGTCCAGCATACCATTAACTGGGAGACAAAGTTCACTTGGCTTCAATTATTCAATCCGATCTGTCGGTTTCGAGTTACCTTTTCTGAAGTTACAGGACTTACATTTCTAAGAGTAGCTTTGTTATATGCACTAAAGTGCCCAAAGAACGGATTTGGAGGTGGAATCGCGGGAAAATAAAGGGTCGTTGAGGTGGTATTTAGTCTTTGTATAGGGGGAGTGAGGAACTATTACTGACAATACCTTTGTACCCGGCTTAGCTTAGAGCTGCACATAAGAGTCGGTAGTGTAGAACGATCAATTTTAAAGGATTCGAAATTACTCTTGAAGAACTGCTTATGGTATTGTCCTCATGACTTAAGGCATGATGCCTCTTTGCCGATTGCTCTTTGGTTACTAGTTTTAGGAAACGCGAGGGGTATGCACGGTGTGCCAATTTGTTCGCCCCGTTTTTAGTGGAAATTTACCGGTGCATTTTGCTTAATAAAACGGGTAGTATTTCTTTTTATCTCGATGCCAAGTCATCATATCATCCTCATTTCTGTCTTCCGGTTGCTTGTAACGCACTGGAGCATTGTGACAATCGAAGCAGAAGATTGGTCACGGGTTATCAGGGCTGGTGCTTAGAACAAGAAGAGGTTCACACAGTAAAATCACATTTGTCCTAATCATGTGTGGTTGTTATGCAGATCTCGTGAACCTGTCATTGATGATGATAAACTTCCGTATCAATTTTTTTTAATTTAATCGTAACATTTCATAAAGCCGGTTTTGTGCTTGAGCTTCTCACCTGCCAACTTTTAGAATGACATTTAGTTTAATTTTATGTCCGACTACGCTGGTCTTTTCACTTCGCCGTTATTTGGTTGCCACCTCCATGTCGTGGAATTTTGCCTATCTTACCACCTATGTTGCTAGTCTCTCAAGCTTCTTCCACACTTTAACATAGGTAGCCTATTATTGGAGTGAAATCTGGGTCCAGTAAACCTAATGGAATTTTACGTTCTCTCAGATTTGTCGGATCTGGATGAGATCGGCCAGTTGCGACTGTCTCACTGCAGCCTCTCAACAGAGAGCGGTAGTCCCGAGCCCCCAAAGGAGAAACAGCAGCGCGTGGATTCAGAGGATCTCAATGATAGCGAAAAGACAGATGTGGCGATGATGGCTTGTCTCCACGATTTATGGAAGAGTCTGGCAGATCGAGAGAACTATCCCCTACCTCACCACGTAGGTGTTACTTCTCACTTCTCTTTATGATTCATCTTGGTAGGTCTCCACAGCTCAGGAACAGGGGGAGCTTGTGGCGGGACTGGAGAGTCTCTTGAACCGTCTACACAATCCCTGCCTCATCACGGTAGCTCGATCGGTGGAGGATGGTTACACACCGGCGGAACAAGTAGCTGACTTACAGATGCAGTTCTTTGAGGCATTGCGACGCATCTATGGAGTAGAGATACTCTCTGTGGTGCTGGATTACGATGGGTGAGTCTTTCTGCTTTTACTAAACCAGTGAATCGCCATTTAGAAGCGTAAACAGTGACAGAGACATTCATTTCACGAATGGAATCTGACAGGCCGTACTCCTCGATATTCAATACCCAATCTTATTAGCTGCCTTCCTAACATCCTGTTTGACCTCTGACGCACTTTTGTTGTTATCGCTACTTGTACCTTTATTAAGTGTTTACCGGCAGTCTACTTTTTTCCTTTCAGAGCCGCTGATGATGCGCCAACCCTACGCTCAATGGGCTTCGAGGTGGTAGAGGCACGAGGTGAGGCGCAGGTCACCTCATCGTCGAGCCTTGGCGAAAGACACATGCGCTGTCAGCCTTTAAACTATCTCAACTTAGCTTTTACTTCTCTGTAATTGAAATACCTATGTTTATAGTGCATAGCTTATATTTGTTTATTAGATGTTGGGTTTGGGTTCCTCCGTGATTCGCTCATCACGTATTATCAAACGGGACTTGAGGGGGTCTAAGGCCTATGGGTTTGATATGCGGCTGGGTCGAGGAATGACGAGGCCCCCTAATCGGTCACCTCACCTTATGACATCTTGATTGGCAGCACGGGCGTTTGCCGGGGTTCGGGCTTGGTTGGCCCAGTCACGAGAACTGGACAGTATTTTCTACTTGACCGTTGGGATAAGTCGCAGACAAAATACTGGGAGGCGGCGTTCAAGGGAGGCTACGTCGAGTAGCCAGCATTAATTGGTGCGTAAATCTAGCAATTAAGAGGTTAACATTTTACGGAGTAATGCGATTATATGATATTTCATCTGGGGCAATTCAATTTCCACCGATTTTAATGCCACACCAAGATGTGGGCTCTGGGTCATGTGAATAAACGCATATCACGTTCGCATTTTGGAGATACACGTATTTGCTTATAAAATCCGAATTTATGAAAGATAAAACTGTTACATTAGAATGATTTACAAAGAGGAGTTAAGATTGCAACATTTCCTTAATAGTACTTACATTAGCTGTAGCGTCTCGGGACTCTCTGAAGACGAAGGAA